GGAGATCCCCGGGGGGCCCCTTAAAAGAAAAGACAAACCCTAAACCCTGCTGCTCTACAGGAAGAAGGGTGATGCCTGGCGTCTGCTGCAGCAACAGCTGCAGCAACAACAGCAGCAGCAGCAGCTGTTGCTGCTGCTGCAGCACGGCCTGCTTGCCGCTAAACCCTAAACCCTAAACCCTAAATCAGCACGCCTAAGTCCTGAGTTGCCGCGCTCTGCTGCTCGCTCCTGCTGCTGCTACTGGCATCACTACTGCTGCTGCTGCTGCTGCTGCTTACTTGCTGCTGCTGCTGCTGCTTACTTGCTGCTGCTGCTGCTGCTACTGTTAGTACAGATACAGGGCTTATGAATTCCTGTGTTGCTGCGAGTTGAGGTGTACGTACACCTAGAGAGCAAAGCAAGAAGACAAACCTTACGAAGAGGCTTGATGGTGGCTGCCTCGGGGGCTAGCCAGCTCGCTCCTCTTCAGCTAGCTAGCTAGCTAGGGTTTAGGGTTTAGGGTTTAGAGTTGGAGGTTAGAAGGCAGCGAGATACGCAACCCAGCTAGCCACAAGCACTAAACCCCAAGGAAGCATCAGCAAGCTAGCTAGCTACTCAGCTAGCTAGTTGCCTAGCTAGCTAGCTAGTGCAGCTAGCTAGATAGCTAGCTAAGCGGTACGGGAACTGGGTAGCTAGCCAGCACGACAGCTAGCTAGCTAGTACGACGGCTAGCTATCCATCACACACGAAAGCTAGCTAGCTAGCTGGCTAGCTAGCTAGCTATCTCGCCAGCTCGTAGAAGAGCCTGCTAGCTAGTTAGCTAGCTGCCTAGCTAGCTGGCTGGCTAGCTGAAGAAGAGGGTTTGTTGTTAGAAAAAAAACGAGTATACATATCTCTCACATGCTCTGCAAAGTAAGGGTCTGGAGAGGCCTCCTTCAGGGAGAAGTCCACTGGAACGCCTTTCAAGCAATCCACCTGCAGCAAACCCTAAACCCTAAACCCTAAACCCTAAACCCTAAGGAAGAAGCTACCACGCCAACCCTCAAACCCTAAACCCTAAACCCTAAACCCTCTACCCAGAAAAAGAGACTCCTGATGGTTTCAACTTGGTACGAAACTGCGCCAGCCCTCTAAGGAGAAGCTCTTAGGGTTTAGGGTTTAGGGTTTAGGGTTTAGGGTTTACGTGGAGAAAAGATATTGTCTGAGTGGCAGCAGCAAGAGCTTCAGGAAGAGACAAAGGAGTGTCTGAGGGTTTGGGTCCCTTTCTTAGAGTAGAAGTCATTTCATAAACCCTGAAGGTGCTTGGAAGCTGCGCACAAACCCTAAACCCTAAACCCTAAACCCTCGCTCCTCCCATAGACAAGCCACAACACCCAGAAAGAAGCAGCAGCCCGCTGCAGCAAACACTTGCTGCAGTCAAAGCTGAAGCAGCCACCTCAAACACCTCCTATAGACCCACCTGCTGCTCCCCCAGCAAACAGCAGCAGCTGCTGCTGCTGCTGCTGATGCAAGCGCAGGAGCAGCAGCAGCAGCAGCGACAACAGGACCAATAGCGGCAGCCGCAACAGCGGCAGCAGCACCAGCAACAGCAGCAGCAGCAAGGGCAGTACCAACAGCAGCAGCAACCGAAACAGCAACGACAGCAACAGCAGCAGCAACAGCAGCAACAGCAACAGCAACAGCAGCAGCAGCAATAGGAAGACCACCAGCGGGTCTCACCGGGATGCGCCGGAAGACAGACGTCATTATGGTTCAGAAGGCGTAATAAGCTGCTGCGGCGCTGCCTCGATTTTCTGTTGCTGCTGCTGCTGCTGCTGTTGCTGCTGCTGCTGCTGCTGCTGTTGCTGCTGCTATTGCTAAACGAACTCGCTTATAGATTCTGTTGTTGCTATCAACAGCAACAAAGCGACAGAGGAGAGATAAATATACACCTAAAAAAAGAAATTTAAAACTTCTTCGAGGCTGCTCCCATGCAGCAGCAGCAGCAGCAGCAGCAACCACTGCTGCTGCTGCTGCTGCTGCTGCTGCTGCTGCATGCGGTGCCCAGGCGGTTTGCTAACCTTGTTGAGTGTCTGCAATTAAATTCGGCTCTTTCATACCTTTTTATTTCTATTTAATTGAATAGGCGATTTTTATATAGGTGCACAGCCGAAACCCTAAACCCTAAACCCTAAACCCTAATGCGGCGAGCCAGGTCTCTATGCACGACCACTGGGGCTGGGGTTTTGCTGCTGCGCTGCTGCTCAGTAGTTAGCAGCAAATCGCTTAAACCCTCCGAGGGTTTAGGGTTTTGATTTACTCAACCGAGGGTTTAGGGTTTAGGGTTTCAGCAAGAAGCCCTATCTATCTTAACCCCCCTGGTGGTTAGCGGTGGTTTAGGGTTTAGGGTTTAGGGTTTAGGGTTTGCCGCCGGTAATGTGGCTACCAAGAAGGCCTGCAGCCAGTCTGTCTCGCTATACGCGTCTTAGGTCGCTAGGAAAGAAGCAGCAGCAGCAGCTGCAGCAGCTGCAGCCGCTACAGCAGCCAGAGAGGCACCAGCGGCAGCAGCAGCAGCAGCAGCTGATTTGTCTGCAGCCTGTAGAGAGGAAGGGGCATTTGAAGTGCCGCTGCGTGGCTGCTGCTGCTGCTGCAGCTGCTGCTGCTGCTGCTGCAAAGGCCAACGAAGACACGAGGAGTGCCGGCAGCAGCAGCAGCAGCAGCAGCAGCTGCAGCAGCAGTAGGAGCTTGCGGCAGTTTATCTTGCCGCGTGCCGCGTGGGGTTGCAGCGGCTATCTTCTCAGGGCCATCGCTGCAAGGGGGCCCCCTTCTTTTTCGTTAGGGGGGCGTTTGTCTCCCTTCAGCAGCAGCAGCAGCAGCAGCAGCAGCTGCTGCAGCAGACACAGCCAGGGGCTGAGGGGGGCCCCAGCTAAGTGTTTGCAGCCTGCAGCAGCTGCACCTAATAACCCTTTCTTATCGTCTGGGGGCCCCGTAAAGGAGGGCAGCCGCGGCGCATGCAGCGTAGCAGGGGGCCCCCCGCTTGCTGCTGCTGCTGCTGCTGCAGCAGCAGCAGCTGCAGCAGGGGCCCTACCCCCTCAGACGGGGGCCCCTACTAATAGCCAGGGGCCCCCTCCATCTCCACAGTGTAGAGGCAGCGGGGGCCCCCAGGCAGCAGACGGTGCACCTGAGATATCTTCTTTTTGCAATTCGCAGGGGCTTCGTATTCAGGTGTACAGGTGGCGCCACGACAAAAGACAGCAGCAGCAGCAGCAGCAGCAGCAGCAGCAGCAGCAGGAAGAAGAGCAGCTGGAAGGAACAGGGAAAGGACAGCAAGGCGGAGGGGGGGCCCCTAGAAGGGGCCTCTGGGGGCCCCCTAATGAAGATAGACGAGTAAAGGGGGTTGTGCTGCTGGTGCATGGGCTCGGCGAGCACTGCTGCAGCCATTTCTTTCACAAACCTCCAGCTGCTGCTGCTGCTGCTGCTGCAGCAGCAGCAGCTGCAGCAGCAGCAGGTGCTGCTGCTTCAGATGCTACAGCAGCAGGCGCTGCAGCAGCGGAGTTTCAGGCATTTGCTTCTGCAGCAGGAGTAGCACTAGGAACTAACGGCGCACAACCAACAGCAGCAGCAACAGCAGCAGCAGCAGCACCAGCAGATCGAACGACGAGTCCGGGTCCCTTCTCTTCCTGCAATTTACCATCAGGATGCCCAGCAACAGCAGCAGGAGCAGCAGCAGCAGCAGCAGGATCAGCATGCGCATCATCAACAGGATCATCAACAGGAGCAGGAGGAGAAGGAGCATCAGCAGGAGCAGCAGCAGGAGGAGCAGCAGCAGGAGGAGCAGCAGCAGGAGGAGCAGCAGCAGACTGGCTGCGGGCTACCTATGATGGCAGCTGGGTAGAGGGCCTCAATCTGCTAGGCTTTGATGTTGTGGGGTTTGATTTGCAGGGACACGGGCGGTCGCAGGGCTGGCGAATGAAGAGGTGCGTTGTTAGGGCATTAGACGACTTTGCTGCTGACCTGCTGCTGCTGCTGCGAATCCTAAAAGCTGAATACAAACAGCAGCACCAGCAACAGCACCAGCAGCAGCACCAGCAGCAACGGGAGGTACAGCAACAACAACGGCAGCAGAAGGCAAATCGAAAAATGATAAACTTACAGCAGCAGCAGCAGCAGCAACAGCAGCAGCAGCAAGAGCAGCAGCAACAACAGCAGCAGCGATGCCTTGCCACTACGCAAATGAATTTGAGCGGGGACAGCATGCAGAGCAGAGAAGACGATCCCCAAGGAGACGATCCCCAGGGAGACGATCCCGGTGCAGACGATCCCGATCCCGGCAGTGAGTCGTCTAACCACAAGAAGCAGCAGCACTCAGCTCCTGCTGCTGGCTCTCCCGCTGCTGCTGCTGCTGCTGCTAGCCCCCCTATGTTTCTGGTTGGGCTCTCTCTTGGGGGTTGGGTGGCCTTGAGGGCTGTGCAGCTGGCAGCAGCACAACGGCGCAACAGTGCTGCTGCTGCTGCTGCTGCTGCTGCTGCAGCAGACCCCACAGCAGCAGCAGAAGCAGCTGCAGCAGACTTTGCTTCTAACCACCTATGCAAGGAGAATCAGCGGCAGTTGACTCTATGGAATACACAAGAGGCAGCAGAAACAGCAGCAGCATCAGCAGCAGCAACAGATACAGACACAGCAGCAGCAACTGCTGCTGCCGCTGCTGAAGATGCCTTGGGCCTGCAGGGTCTCGTGCTGCTGTCTCCAATGCTGCAGCTCTCTCGTAGGCGGCACCTGCAGCGCGTGCCGCTGCTGCAGTATGCTGCTGCTGTTGTTGCTGCACTGAGGCCCCACGCAGCCATCATACCACCCAGAACTGTGAGCAGGGGGACTTTTGCTGTTGCTGCTGCTGCTGCTGCTGCACTTGCCGCAGCTGCTCCTGTGATTTTTGTTGCTTATGCTGCTTCTACTGCTTGAGTTGTGTTCGTTGCTGCTGCTGCTGCAGTTGTTTCTGCTTTTGCTGCTGTTTCTTCTGTAGTTGTTGCATCTGTTGCTGGTGTTGCTCAAGCCCTGGTGCTGCTGCAGCATCACCTACTGCTGTTGCTGTTGCTGCTGCTGCTGCTGCGCTGCAGAGCCGGAGACGACATCCTCATCTGCATGCATACTTTCAAGCTGACCCCTTAACTTTTAAAGGCGGCGTCCCTTTGGGGCTGGGCGTCCCTTTGATTTGGCAGATGGAGACAGCAACAGAGAGGCCGGAGCTGCTGCTGCTGCAGCAGCAAGATGCTGCTGCTGTGCTGCTGATTCATACACTGCAAGACCCCCTTTGTGATGTAGGCGGCACCATCAGCTGCTTCTCTCGCCTCGTAGGGGTACCAGATAGGCAGCTACTAGCCATTGAAGGGCCTCCTGCTGCTGCTGCTGCTCCTGCTGCTCCTGCTGCTGGGGCGGCTGCGGATTATGGTGAAGACGGCGAGCAGGGAGAGGCCCTCAGCAGCAACAGCAGCAGCAGCAGCAGCAGCAGAAGCAGCAGCCTGCAGGAGCAGCTGCACCCCAAACTGCATGCGTTATACCCTGAGTATAACTTCCAGATCCTCGCTACTGGAGCAGCAGCTCCTGCTGCCTGCGAACACCAGCAGCAGCAGCAGCAGCAGCAGCAGGATGAGGAGGCGCTGCGTACTGGCGTAGCTGCGTATGAAGAGTGCATGCAGGCGCATGGGGGCCCCACAGCTGCAGCACCGCAAGTGTTTCTGTTTAGGGGGATCGACGTCTTACACGACCTACCCAACGAGCCGGGGCAGCATCTTCTCTTCCGTCTCCTCTCCTCCTGGATTAACAGCCGCTGCCCCCAGCAGCAGCAGCAGCAGCCGCAGCAGCAGCAGCAGCAGCAGCAGCAGCAGCCGCAGCAGAGGCAACAGCAGCAAAAGAAGAAGAAGCAAAAACAGCACCAGCAAAAACAGCAGCAGTAGCGGCTAAAGATGCCGCAGCAGCAACTACAACAGGTGCAGCAGCAGTACCAGCATCAGCAGCAGCAGCACCAGCAGTAGCAGTAAGATGGGCAGCAACACAGCAGCAAGCAGAGTTACGGGGGCGCCCAGCTGTCTCCCTCTGTCTCTTTTCGTTTCTTTCAAGGCGAAGGCGTCTCCTCAGCATTTATCAGAAAGAGGCCTTGTCTAGGGATTAGAGCAGTTTAGGGTTTCGGGGGTTCTACGATTTTGGGGACTTTAGGGTTTAGGGCTTAGGGTTTAGGGTTTAGGGTTTAGGGTTTAGGGGAGGAAGGCAGCCGCCGTTATTTCTCTCAAGCAACTTGAGCCTTTTTTTTGTTGGCGGGACTGCCACCAGAAGCTCCTAGCAAGCTAGCGGGTACAGCTAGCTGTAGCTAGCTAGGGCTGGCTAGAGCTAGCTGTGTCGTGCTCGAGCTAGTTAGAGCTATCTAGAGCTAGCTGTATCGAGCGGTGGCTAACTGTAGCTAGCTGGCGCTAGCCGGGGGTGCATCTCCATAGCGAGCTGGTAGTAGCTATGGCTAGCTGCGGCTAGCTGTTACTAGCTGCTGCTAGCTGCTGCTCGCTGTTACTAGTTCGTATGCAACGAAGAACTAGAGCTGGTTGATTTGCGTTGCTGGGGAGACATGTTTCTGGTGTATATGCACCTTAGAGGTTCGGGCATGTGCAAGGGTTTAGGGTTTAGGGTTTATAGTCTAGGGTTTAGGGTTTGGGGTTTAGGGTTTAGGGTTAAGCGAACAGGGTTCAGGGTTGGGGGCCTGGAGCGCCTGCGAGCGCGCAGGTGTGCAGGGCACGAATAAGCTTGTGTGTAGTTTAAGGGTTTAGGGTTTAGGGTTTAGGGTTTAGGGATGTGTGTCTTTTTGATTATTTTTAATTATAACAGCCTGAAAACAATGAAAAAAACTAATTAATAAAACAGCAAAGAGTGCGGTGGTGAGGCGAGAGACGCTGAGGCACCAGGACGAGCGCCGCACGGGGATCCGATCCCCGGATCATATCGTGGGATCGGATCCCAGAGCATGCAGAGGCGTGGGGCAGTCCATTTGATTGGTGAATAAAGATTTTTTGTTTTTTAAAATCAGAGTAATAAAATAACTAACAGGTACACGAGAGAAGGAGCAGCACCACAGACGGAGGACTGCTTATGCTGCTAGCATTGCTGCTGCTGCTGCGGTTCTGCCCGTGCTGTTGCTGCTGCGGCGGCTGCAGTATCTCTCGTCTTCCTGCTGCTCTCCGTCGAAGTTTCGGCGGTGTATGAAAAGGTTTAGGGTCTAGGGTTTAGGGTTTAGGGTTTAGGGTTTGGTGGTGAAAGTCCTTGACCCTAAACTGGAGCAACTGTCGCGGTCTATCTGCTGCTACGATAACCGCCGCTCCCGCTGCTGCAGCTGCTGCTGCTGCTGCTGCTGTTGCTACGTTTAGCAGGTACCTATACACCTCATTTCTTTTGTTTTTTAGTTGTTTTGAGATTCAATGGAAGAAACTTCGTGGTCGTATGACTGCGTAAATACAGAGACGGTCGGGGGGCCCCTAGCAACAACAGTCTCATCAGTTGCTTCAACAAATGCTTCTTACGAAGAGGCAGGGGGGCCCCCCTCCTCTATGTGGAGCCCCTGGAGCGACAGCGAAGTGCCTTGCGAGTTATATACCTTCTCAGGCGAAGACCAGGGTCGTATACATCACCTTTGTCTTACATCATCGGAGGAGGAGCAGCAGCAGCAGCTGCTGCAGCAACAGCAGGAGCACCAGCAGCAACTGGATGCAGAACGCATGCACCTCAAACAACAGCAAAATCAGCAGCAACGGGGGGCAGGAGAAGGTTTGATATTTCTTAAGGGGCGATCACTAGGGCTTGCGCTGGCTATTTTAGGAACGTTTATACTTGCTGCTGCAGCACTTGGTATACAGCAGCACCGCCTAAGGGATATGCGGGGGCCCCCTACGCAGCAGCAGGGGCCCCTACCATCCTTAGGAGGGGCTGCTCAATCACCGTATAAGGGGCCCCCCTTACGGCATGGTGAAACTCCTTTATCTATTGTCAATCCTTCTGAAGCAAAAGAGCCTCTTAATGCAGATAAAGAAGAGCAGCAAGAGCAGCAGCTGCAGCGCCTTCTCGCTAGCCTTGCGTCCTTTAGAAGAGCTTGGAGTGAGGCCCCCGCGGATGCACACGCCATCCTTCCTTCTGCAACCATAGAGGAAGGGGCCCCCCAAGACCCATTGGGGCCCTTTGGAGTGTACATACAGGCCCTTATTGAAGAGCAGCAAAGCCTTAGCGCTCTCAAAGACACCAGCAGCAGCAGCAGCAGCAGGAGGAGGGCGTACATGATGAAGCAGTGTGGAGACCTCTTAGATGCACTTACAGCTCGTCTTAAGTCTCTAACGCAGTTAAACTGCATGCAGAATGATACCCCTAAGGTGTCTCTACCTTCAGAAGAGGCATTGTTAGCTCAAACAGATGACTTAGTAGATTTCTCCTCCTTCGTAGAACTCCTCAAGGCCCCCCCAGCCTCAGGCCTAGGGGCCCCCAGCCCGGTGCCGACGGATAACATAGGGGCCCCCCCTGTAGGGGGCGTGCCTCGTGTTCTGGCTGGAGTACTAGCTAGAGGTATACAGCTGCTGCAGCTGCAGGTGGAAGGAGATGAAGCAGTACGAAAAGCTCTTGCTGCAGCGCTTCAAGAACCAGAAGCAGCAGCAGCTGAAGATAACGAGACGGACGAGGAGACAGTTAAATCTACTCCTGAGGTAGAGAAGCAGCAAGACAAGAAATTCGCTGAAGAGCTTAATACTGAGACGCTGGCGGTTGTGCTGAAGCTGCTGGAGGAGCGGAAGACCCCGAAGTCAGCGAGAGATTTATGCGGTACTGGTGCTGCTGCTGCTGCTGTAGAGACAGCAGCAGCAAACTGGAACGTCAAGGGACTGCTCGATTTGTACATGGGTCTGTGGGCGATGCAGCTGCAACGAGCAGCAGATTTCTCTCGAGCCCTCGAACGGGTGGAGACAGTAGCAAAGGGCAGCAGCAAAGGCAGCGGCAACAGCACCGGAAGCAGTAGCAGTAGCAGCAGCAGCAGCAGCAGCAGCAGCAGCGGTAGCAACAGCAGCAGCAGCAGCAGCGGTCGCCTTACCGATGCTAGCTGGTACATAGCATCAGCGCTGCTCTAGGTGTCTCCTTGTGGGCCTCAGGAAGGTGTCTCCTTGTTCCGTCTCCACTCAGCTCTTGTCTATACACTTCAAGTATAGGGGATACGCAGCTGGATCGCTAGCTGTCTCCTCTTCAGCTACAGATGAAGCTCAACTGCAGTTTAAGTTTGTTTTCTAGTATTCGTTCATGCATACATTTAGATGGTGCCGGCAGCATACGTGCACTGCTGCCCTTAAGCAAAGCCCGCCCCCTATCATTTTTCAATCATCTCTAAGCCTGGGCGGCCTCTTCCCTGCCTATGCTGCTGGAGGGAAGCCCTATAGATCTCTGCATCGGCAGACGCAGTGTTATTGCTTGAGCTGTCTCTTCGTTTTTTTCCTGTTCGCATTTCCCGTGCTGTACGCATGCATGCATGAGGCCCCGGTGCTGATTGCCAGCGCTTGAGGGTGGAGTCGTAGACGCGAGGTGTACGTACACCAGGTGCGAAGCGGGTTGTCTGTACAGTTCTGTGTCTCCCTCTATCCTCTTTAAAAAATGCAGACTTTTATTGTCTTTCATGATATTTGCAGCAATCTCTTTTCTTGCTTCATGTGCCTTTCTTTGTTTTAAGCAGGGAAAGTAATAGTGTTGATTAGGCTGCAAAGAGAGCCGGCAAATGAATGTTCTTCTTCTCTGTTTGTATCTCCTTTGCTAGCCAGGAACCTGTACGTACACCCGAAGGAGCAATCGGGATTCTTTGCTTACATTTGCAGTTCTTTGTTGTTGTATTGGTTGTTTGCTGAGACACACAGAGAGGGGGGACCAGCTGGATTTCTTCTTTGTCTTTCTTCTTTCTTGCATGCAGCCTAATAAAGGCTAATGGGGAAGTATACCATTACTTAAGAACCCCTTCATCGCCTTGAGATGTTCCTACCCCTTCATATGCATCTCATATTACTATGAACGCATATTGCTTATCAGGAACAAACCGCTGAGCTTTCTAGAAGAGTTTGAAGCTATCCTTCCAAGGTGCTTCTTAACAATTGTCTACACTGTCCGTGCATGCAGCAACGGGGGTGTGTGTTATTTTTGCTTGCATATGGGGCTGTATTGCTAGTTGCAGCAACATCTGCTTTAATTAATTCCAGCCAAACTCCTCTCACCCATCCTTGGGCCTTTAGGGGTAGCGGCTCTCAGCCTAGTGCCTAGTTACTAAAGGAAAGGTTATCAGCTGCTTTGAGGGAATTTCTTATTTATAGTATTTTGACTTTGTTTCGGTTTTATTGCAGCTCGTTAAGGACTCCAATTACACAGAGGTGTAAGCACTACTAAAGAAATAAAACAAGAGAAAACAGCCCTTAGAGCGCCGCCATTAAGAGCTGGCTAAGTTCAAAATCTTAGAAAGCGTTGACAACCACGAAAATACCTTTAAATAATTTTAGCTGTAGGCGCTACACACAAAAATAGCTTTAATAGGGGCACTAAGATGGCTCGAAAACATGAAAATGAGAATAAACGAAAAAAAAAAAGATTAAGTCATGATGGTATTCATTCTGCATGTACAGAGGAAAGCATAGTATTTTCTCATTTTGTCCTCCTCTTAAGAAAGAGAAAGCCAACACTAACTCTCCTTTATAGTAGTTTGTTTATGTTTATTATGTGTTTAGGCCTCTGAGATTTATTCGCTTTTGTTGTACTTGTGGCATCTCAGGTGGTGCTTTTTACGGTGAAGACATTTTGTTAAGGGTGGGGATGGTATATCAATTGTTTAGAGCAAGCTATTCAGAAGAAATGAACCTTTTGAGCTATTAGAACATAACCCCTTTGTAGTTCTGCTCTATATTTTGAACTAAGCAATTCACTGTCGGCCCGAAGGTTGAGAAGTGTGGTGCTGCAACGCATTAATTGCTATTAGACATATACTTACTTGCTTAAATAATGTAGCTTTCGTTGCAAACATGCATTATTTTAACAACTATTCATGTACAAATTGCGTTCCCCCCTCGAGACCTGGCCTGTCTATTCCAGTGCCCCCTGCCTGTGCCTCTATATCATGGCAGTTGCGGTGGATTTGCAGCGAACTCAGCGTCTATAAACTTTGATTTAAACCCCAATTTCTGCACAGAAGGATATATATTCCTAGGAAGCTGCGAATTTAGTTTAGGGGGAGTGTCTGTGGCTGTGCTCAAGAGCTATTCTTAATGGTGCAGTCTAGCAGAGCTGCATGGGTTGCTGGCCAGGAAAAAAATGCGTTGTCTGCATATCATTTCATTTTCAAGTTTTGTTCAATTGATTATTGCCCTAGTTGCTCCATTTCTACTGTTTGCTCTTCCAGACCCCCGCCATACAATACGCGCTCCTCTATTACCCAGGCACCGATCGTCAACCCCTCATCCTGTGAGACGCCCAAACGTTTGTGAAATACCATCCCTTGATATGTTTTTTATACTAATTAACGTGTTAATCATCAAAAAGTTCTTTTTGAGGCATTTAGAGCTCCGTTTTGTCTGCTGTTGTCACCTCTTGATTTGCAATACCATCACCACCAGCGTAGCGTATTCAACTTTTAACGAGAGATCTGGAAATACCATTCAGATGTCTGTATCCTGGCTTAATAAAAATTAATTTTAAAATAAAATAACATGAATGATGTAAGTTTTACACCCAATTGCGGTGCGTGCTTGTATGTTGGAGCAGTACCACTGAACTTGCTCCTGGCTGGTCCTGGCTGGTTTATTAGGCCTTGCTGTATCTTCTGGGGGGAAACAGACTCTTAGCGTGTATAATCGAGCAGCTTTAACGGGCTCAATTTGTCTTCGTGGGTCACCTTGGCAGTGAGAAAAGGCGTGAACACACTCTAACCTCAGTTTTGCCTAGTCTGCTTACCTCTGAACTTGTAAGCAGTCGTGTCTGGGTTCGAGCACCACCATCTGTAAGCATGTGGGTGAGCCGGTGGCGAGAGTTAATAAAAACCAAAGGGTGCGAGAGTGCTTCGGGTTGATTTGCGATAGTGCGAGACTGTTGTTTGGCGCAGGAAACGCGAGACAGGGATCTGACTTCGGAACGTGAATGATCAGTTCCTTCGACACTACGTGGGTTAGCGAAAACTAAGGCTTAGACTCAGACGAAGTGAAGCATGCCTTGCTAATAGAAGAAACTTGCGTTCTTTTAATCAAGGATGTTTGCTAACTCTAAAATCTCGAGAAGAAACGGCGGTCTGTTGCACGAATCTGCTCCTGCATGTGTGAGCTTGTTTCGTACACAACTCAGGATATTCGAACGAGATGGCTGTTGACTGGACCCTTCAATCATGCTGCTCACGAGGTCAATGGATAACTTTGTCGGTGATCGGTGGCTGGGCAATCGTGGCTTTAGCATTATGGCACTGTAGGATCTGCGGCAAGCACATTTTGCTCCAGTTTAAATTGCTCACCACCTTCCTTCACGAATTCTCCCATGCCTCCGCTGCGTGGATAACGGGGGGCAAAGTAAAGGGAATCGGTGAGTTGTCAAAATTTCCCTGGTTCGATTGCTTAATGTCAACCCTCTGTGAGCTTGGCAGCTCTCCCCATTAACAAAGTCCTTTTGCTGGGGGAACGGGGGAGGCAGCATCTGAACAATCAAAAATTCAGTTGTCCGCAGTAATTGGTAGAATGCGCCGCTCGGTAGTACAAATTAGGGAATCCCAACCACTCGCTATTGTGTATGGTTGCGTTCCTTATTAGCTTTGTCTGCTTGCACGCAGAGGTCTACACAAATGAAGGGGGAGTGACGCGCACTGTGGGAGGGATTCGGTGGATCATCCTGCCCGCTGGATATATTGGAAGCTGCTTTTGGGGGTTAGTGTTTACGCTTCTCGCAAGTATCAACATCTGGACTCTGCGAGTAGGCGCTGGCCTCCTGTGTCTCATGATGCTTGTTGTCCTTTTGTTTTTCGCTAGGAACTGGACAGTAGGCATTGTGTGCGTGGTCTTTATTATTGAAATAATCATTGTGTGGGTTTTCACGGAAATCTACCGCACAGTTTGGCCGCTGCGAGTCGCTATGCTGGCAATTGGAGCTATGAACAATGTCTACAGTTTCCTTGATATCTTGGATGATACAATACGCAGAAAAGAGCCAGATAGCGACGCATACAAGTGTGCCTCGATAACGCACTGCAGTAGCCGACTTTGCGGCTCCCTTTGGGCTCTTTTGGCTCTTTGTTTCATCGGCGTGGAGGTTTATCTCCTCTTGGCTATCAAGGACGTAGGCGATGAAACTTTCTAGATTGCCTCCTGCCGGTGAGGAGTGAGCGATATCGCTCTACTCATGCGGCGTGGCAGCTGTTTTTCTGGCAGCAGCATTTGTTCAAGGGATCCAGGGTTTAACCCGGAATTGTTTGAATTGGAGCAAACTAGCCAGCCGTTGCTCTGTTGTTTTTGAACTATTCGCTCAGCAACCGAGTTTCATTGTGGGCTGGGTGTCGTATACCGGCCGCAAGAATCCTCAAAAATTTTTGTGTGTAGTCCTCCAATTGTAAGCGTGAAGGGCGTCTACACGCGAAAGCCGATAGTTGGCTATGACGCTTTGTACGTTTCCAACGGATTCTCACTCAGGTTTTTCCTACTTTTTGTTCCCCCTAGTATCCCAAGTGCAGATAGATAAATACATACACAGCAATTGTGGAGGGGAATGAGCGTTCCGTAAAAGTGCCATATACTAGTGGGAATGGGACCCTCCACTGTTTCATTCCCAAATTTAACATTACGTTGCTGCAAGGTTCTACCTGACTATCTGGCCCTTCCCCGCTTCACTAGCGAGCTCGCCTCACACGCGTCCAGGATCTCACCCTTCTTTAGTTTCTCCTCGCAAGTTACTGCTCTTTTGTAGGGAGAGGAACAGGAGAGTTCGATGACCTTCTGAATGTTTTCAGAGAATCAACATTAATGATGTGTGACATTTCCACGCGGGGAGGGAAACTACGGTGTACGCGAGTGCGTTGGCCTGAGAACGGGCAACAAAGAGCCCTACCTAACGCATGCCGAACTCCTTCGGCTCCTAGTCCTCCTGCACGCTTCGGCCACCATGTGAATCCACTAACAGTTAGTCTAACGCCTCGCCTAATGGCAAATGTCGAACGTCGTTTGTAGTAGCTACTTGCATGAAGGCCGTGCTGGCTTTGTATATTCTCGTGGTGCTGCCAGCTACGAGTGAAATTCTGCAGCTGCGGCGTCAGAGGGAAGGCTTCAAACAGCCAACTCCGACGCCGGGTCAGACCGCGGGGCTTCAGCGTAGACCAGGAAAACCGGGAAACGTCGGGTGGAAGAATACACTGTTGTGTTACAAGCCTGTTCTGCACAAGGGAGGAAATGAAGCCACTTGATTTCCAAGTTGATTTTTCTGAGTTCGTAGTCACAAGTTCTGCGCAAATCTTCGTTTGATGAATTCAGTTTTGACCGTTTGGAGTTGAATGGCGTGTGGAGGTGATTTTCTGGTCGACTGAACTCGGAGAGAGAATGAAGCGCGCATATTTTCTGAGTCTGCCCACAACAATGTAGAAGATTTCATTCCTTCTGAATGATGGTGTATCCACTCTAAAAACAACTGAGATATCCGTTCAGATCCTTTTCGGAGTCAGAAGACTCTGCAACAGGCCGGGGTTGATAGTGTTCTGCGGCTTCTCCCGCTGGCAATCTGAACACGTAAGGCCATATTCCTTTCCTGAAGGGCGCACTCTCGGTTAGCACAAGACGTGGCTACCCTTTCTACCGCCGCCTTGACCTCACCGAGGCCAGATGAAGCATGCCCGTTCACTCTGCGCAGAACTTCTGTGCGAAGTGAAGCACAAATACTCGGCGAAGTTCTCAATTCGTCTGGTACCACAAGAGCTCTCCATCCATGCTATCGCGCGTAATCCGTCGTCCGTTGTTGAGCGTGGCAAGATATTCACCGGCATAAACATTTGACGAAGAAGAACCCAGTTTGGAAAGGAGGTGAAAATTAACGCAGATAAGTGCAGTTGCAGAACAAAGTGTCTAAGCGCTAGAATGCGGGGAGAGTGTTTCAGCGGCCGCGTTGGTGATGCCTTTTTATGCCTTTAATGTACATGACTGCGCCGTTGTCCTCGACGATCCGGAGAAACCATTGAAGAACCCTGGCACTCTTCGAGTGTTTACAGCTCTTTGTTATTTATCTCAGGATCGACAATCTGTTTGAACAGTAAAGCGCCTGCCGTATAAACAGTCGTGACACTTCTTCTCACCTCACTGGACCTCGTATGGCTGACCCGGCTGAAGTATGTGATACTTCCTTTCTCTTAATCGACCCCCACTTCAAAGTAGAGGAATCCTAAGGAGCAATCTTTTACACTTTAAAGGAGCGAGCATAGGCTCAGACAAACTACCGCTTCCAGTATAGCAGTTGGAGAGCATGCCTCAGGCGCTTTTGCGTCCGCACCTCCGGCCCCCTTCGCGAATTCCTTTCTCTCCCTCCGCCCACGTATCCCCAATTGGGCACCCAGTCATACGGGGGCTTGTGCTACTTGGGGGCACGAGGTAGGGCGGATGCATTAGGCTCTCTCTAGTTGGCGCATACATGTGTTTCTACTTGCCAGCATGCGGCTACTGAAGGACAAGGAACTATTCAACGATTCTCTACGGTATTCGTGCACGCATCAACAGCGGGTTAGGGCACGCCCTCATAAGCAGTTAAGCTGCAAAAAGAGTTGCAGCAAGTAGTCCTGCACACCCTGTACGGCCCCCTAATCCCCTGACCGGTTATTAGCCCGAGGCCCTTGCGCCGCTGTGCACAGGATGCCTTGAGACTGGGGGGGAATTATGCCCTTTCTTCGAAGCTCTCACCTCCACCATTTTGACTGTCTTTGCAGCTCACGACGGCCCCCCACTAAGATGAAGGACCCTTGTTGCACCGGGTGTAGCGAGAATGCACTAACACTATAGATAGTTGTTGCACTTCTAATTGCGTACAGACTGCCTCCTAATGCCTAGTAACCGTTCATATACCCTCCCAGAGCATGCTACACTTGGTGGCGTGCGATCAGGACACGTATGCTGAGGGGCCAGGGCCGAAGGCCTCTGAAAGCAGCTTTTCCTCAGACTCTAGCATAAACTTAGAACATAGAAAGCAAATGAATAACAAAGAAGTGCAGTCGCTGCGGCAGACAAGCGACGCCGCTGTACTCGGTGTAAAGGAGAGACGTGGGGCTGTGAGCCACAGAACGGTTGCTGCGGCAGCAGCTGTTGCAGCCACCGCAGCAGCAGATTCCTCCAACTAATTGTAAAGAAATATTGTTAAGCACGTAATGCAAAAAATATAAACTCAGCTGCAGCAGGGGATGTTCAGAGTGGCAGGGGCATTATAACAACCCCCATGTCCTGCAGCAGCAGCAGCAGCTGCTGCAGCGACTACAACCGCATCAACTGTATTCCTACTAACAAGATAACCTTAATGGTGGCCAGAGTGTACTGAAAGTTAATAGTGTATTTAAAATAAAGAGGATAAAACTGCAACATTTTGATGTCTTAATGAGAGCAGCAGAGATCTCGCGTTGCTTCCTGTCGCTGCTGCAGCTTTGTATCTGGAGCAGGCACCAGCAGCAAGTGTTGCTGCTGCTACTGCTACAGCCTGTGTCCTCCGTAGGAAATATACCCCAAGGCTTCCTATGTAAACACACTAGCGGATTGCACTAATATTAGCTGTTATGTTAGGGGTCCCAGCGGGGTGTTCATTGGCTAAGGCAGCAGCAACACATGCCGTATAAGCACAGGTGGCAGCAGCAGTACAGGCTGCTGCTGCTAGGCATAGAGATCCAAAGCAAGGCTTGTAGACCAGTTTAGAGCCTTTAACCCTCTCTTTATGATCCTCTAAAGGAACGCCTAGTATCCTGCAAGTGCCTGCACAGGGGACAGCAGCAACACCTGCAGTGGGTCTGCTGCAGCCACTGCCCGGCCAAGGCATCCTGGGCTGCGCTGCAGCAGCAGCAGCTGCAGCAGCAGCAGCGGCTGCCCTCCCCAGCCCATAATTTTTGCTTATTACGTATTACCCAGGGCCCCCGTGTACTCTAGAGTATTTTGCTGCTGCAGCACGACACGAGTCTCCGTTGCTACTGGCCCCGGCAGGCCCGCCTCAGCAGCTTTTCTGTAGTCTTCAGCAGCTGCTGCGGCTGCTGCTATATCAACAAGAGCACGAACTCTTCCTCCTCATCCTGCTGTTGGCCTGGGGGGACATCAGCATCTGTAGCAGAAGCAGCAGCTGGCTCCAACGCAGCTCGGGCAGGCTGCTGCCGCTGCAGCACGGCAGCAGCCGTAGTGGGTGTTCAAGGCTGCAGCAGGGGGGCCTGATAAGGATGCCTCTTATCTTTCATGCTGCCTTGCTGCATAAAAACCCAAACTGAAGAGACAAGTTCTTCTAGTGCAGCCCCCGCGAACACCAGCTGCTGCCGCGGGACCTCACGTACCGACAGGAGGAGCAGCAGCAGCAGCGGCAGCAGCAGCAGCAGCAGCAGCAGCAGTTCAGGGGGCGTTGGATTGCAAGAATGAGCAGCATCAGCACATTCCGCCTCCACCTCAGACGGCAATGAGTTCTGCAGGCGGTCGCGGGGGTTCTTCCCCCTCGCAGCCGCCGGGTGCAGCATCAGCAGCAGCAGCTGCAGCAGCTGCAGCAGCAGACGCTACTACAAGCGTTGACGGAGGTATGTTTTGCTCTTCATCGAGTTTTGGAGGCGGCTTTACTTTGTCTCGCTCTGCCTCTCTCAGTGGTGTTGACCCCGCCGCTGCTGCTGCTGCCGCCAGTGCTACTGCTGCTGCTGCTGCTACTGCTACTGCTGCTGCTTGCACGTATTTCGTAGCAGAGTTGGTGTAGTTGTTGTGTCTGCTGGTGCTGCATCTTCTGCTGTGTCTGTGCTTCTGTGGCGCAGCTGCGGCAGGCCGGCTGTATATGAGGGCCCTGAGCGGCAGCAGACAACGCAAGTCCGTCAGGCGAGACGCGCTGCTGCATCAATGTTGGGTTAATCCTTGTTTGCCTCTAGACAAGGAGCAACAAAGGCAGCAGCATCGAGAAAAGGAGGAGCAGGAAGATGCTGCTGCAGAAGAATGTAGGCTGCTGCTGCTGCAGCAGCGCGTTGCGGAGACCCACGTCGAGATCGCTGAGGGCAATGGAGCGGAGCCTTCCCAGCAAAAGGAGGGTGCTTCAGAAGCAGCAGCAGATGCTGCTGCTGTTGCTGCCTCTCCAGCTGTTGCTGCTGCGTGCCCAGAAGAAGCAGAAGAGGATGCCGACGCGGTCAAACGCGTAGAGCCGGTGCTTCCTGACGAGGCAGAAGCAGCAGCAGGAGGAGCATCAGCAGGAGCAGGAGCAGCAACAGCAACAGCAGCAGGAAGTGCATCCGAGGAGTGTGCCAGTGCTTCGCAAGAAGCACCGAGAGGGAGCGATGCCGGCCTAAATAGCAGCATGAATAGCGGCTGCTGCAGCAGCGGCAGCGGAGGAAGAGAGGGCAGCAGCAACAACAGCAGCAGCAGCACTCCTGAACCAGCTGGAGGGGGGACCCCTACGCCAGCCGCAAAGGATTGCAGCAAGGCTGCCGCCGACTCGCCAGCCACAGCAGCAGCAGAAGCAACAACAGCAGCAATAGCAGCAGCAGAAGCATCTCTGCAACACCGCGTTCAAGTGCCCCTTGTCCGCATCCTCACAACGCAGCCTTTCCGGGTGTTTGATGCCTCTGTTTTCTGTTCTGCTGCTACAGCCCCAAGCAGGGGCAGAGGTCGTAGAGGTGCAGCAGCAGCTGCCAGACGTCTGCTGCAGCAGCAGCAGCACGAAGAAGATATGTTGCACGGCCCCCCTGTGCGTGGCTCTCGCGGTGCTCGTGGCCGGGGAAGGGGAGCAGCAGCAGCAGCAGCTGCTGCTGCTGCAGCTGCTGCGGCTGCTGCTGCCGAAGCAGAAGGAGGCGGGTTGGGAGGGCGCGCTGCTGCTGCTGCAGCGACTGAGCAGCAGCAGGAGGAGGCCTTCCGGCTGCTGCATGAGGAGCAGCAGCAAATGGCAGAGACCGTTGCAGACTGGGCCACAGACTTTAACTGTCTCGACCAGGAACTCGTATATGAATACATGTATGCTGATCGCCGTCTGCAGCAGCAGCAGCAGCTGCTGCTGCCACCGCAGCTGCGCGCAGCAGCAGGGGATCTATCGGGCCAGCAGCCGGAGCCGGGTTCTCTTCAATCTGTGCAGCAGCAGCAGCGGCTGTTGCAGCAGCAGTCTGTCTGGCGACGGGAGGGATTTGATTCTGTTGGTGCAGCAAAGATAGCCACTTGTGCTGTTGCAGCGCAGCGGGGAGACGCTCTGCTGTACGAGCAGCAGCAGCATCCTCATCGGCTTCCAAACCCATTTCAGCTCTCAGTTTTGCATGAGCCTCTCACTGCTGTAAGCTGCTGCTGTTGCTGCTGCTGTTGCTGCTGCTGTCGCTGCTGCTGCTGGAGCTGCTGTCGCCGTTGAATGGGGGCCTCACTGCACTTTCCGTGGGGCTGCGTGTTGCGCTGTGGTGCTGTTGCAGGTGCAGCGTCAGGCTGCTGTATTCTTTGCACAGGTTCCTGCTGCTGCTGTGGGTAGCAGCAGCCCAGCAGTTGTTACAGCAGCAGCTGCTTCAGCAGGTAGCGCTGTATCCGCAGCGGGGGGGAATGTGCTGCTGTTGCCGCAGCTGTGTTCAAAGACAGGGCTGCAGCAGCAGGAGCAGCAGCAAGCTGCAGCAGGAGCGGACAGCAGTGCTGCTCCTGCAGAGGGCGAGAGCAGCAGCAACAGCAGCAGCAGCAGCTCGTTCCCGCCGCCGCTACGGGACGTAGATACCTTACGATCGCTGCAGCAGAATGTTTCGGTGCAGCTGGAGCGTGTGGAGTCGTGGCTGCTGCGAGTGACAGTGGCTTTGACGGATGGCTGCAGCAGAACCCCACTGAATGCAGCAGTTGAGGTGCCGGGAGCGCAGCAGACAGAGTCTGTGAGTTTGCTGCTGCAGCAGACGGTCGACCTGCCGCTGCCACCGGACCCCGTAGCAGCAGCAAAGGGGACAATTTTGCCTGTCTCCATGGGCAATAGGCTGCACTTGGCGGAAGCAGAAGAGCTGCTGCAAGAGGGATTGGTGCTGCAGCAGATGGTAGGTGTTTCACACGAGCTGCAGCAGCTGCAGCAGCGCGTCCGACAGAGCAAACAGTTCGCCCAGCGCATCTGTGCTGCTTTGAACGGCAGCAGCACTGGCAGCAGCAGCAGCAGCAGCCGCCGTGAGAAAGGAGAGAACGCAGCAGCAAGTGGCAACGGCAGCAATAAGGGTCGCATCCCTATACAGCTGCTCCGCAGCTTGCTTGTAGAGGGGTTTCATGAAATACCGTTTATAGTTCCAGAGTTTATATTCCTGCTGCAGCAGCTGCAGCAGGTTGTCACTTGGCGGGAGTTGCTGCGGTCAGCAGCAGCAGCAGGAGACCTGCAGCAGTGTGAGCAGATCCTTGCCCAGGCCCAGGACGTGTGCGTCTACATACCCGGTAAGGCAGAGGGTTTAGGGTTTAGGGTTTAGGGTTTAGGGGTTGTTACAGGCGTAGTGGTGCTGCAGTGTCGTGCTGGCCTTAGCACCCTAGTCCCAGACAGCTACAGCAGATGCTGCTGCAGCTGCTGCTGCAGTTGATGCAGCTGCTGCAGTCGGAGGATTTTGTACACCTGCACACGGTGGATGGTTGTTCTGGTCCTGCATTGCCCTACGTAGCGGCTTGCCTCACGTTTAAGCGGCTTCTGCTGCTGCTGCTGCGGGTTTGCGTGCAGGGTGGAGCGACTGGAAAGGGCACGTAGCTGCTGCTGCTTGGGCTGAGCGCGTAGACCGTTTGCTGCAGCGACCGATACGGCTGGGGCTGGCGGTGGCTCTGCTGCAGGAGCCATCTGCTGAGACAGCAGGGCCTTCCGCTCGAGAGCTGCAGCGTCGGGTTGCTGCTGCACGTGAGTGGGCGCGGGACTGCTTGCAGCCGCGGTATTTGCAGTTGCTGGCAGCAGCAGGAGCAGATGCTGCAGCACTAAAGGAGTTGCAGTCTCTGGCGGAGGGCTGTCCCCCTGCGCAGGATGCAGAAAGGCGAGAGGAGACGCAAGAAAAGCAGCTCTCTCTCTTTCCTACGCCTGGGGACCTCGAGGCTCTTATTGCGAGACATACAGCACTTAAGCTCATCGTTCCAGCCATCAAATATCTGGAGGTCCGCTCCTTCTCTTGCTATGGGCTCACTAAATGCATGCCGCACACCGGTCTCTGTCTCTGTCTCTGTCTTTGTCTCTGTCTCTGTCTCTTTAGACAGAGACAAAGCGGACACGTTGTCTCTATGCATACATCAATGTTCACAGATACCAATTAATAATACATATTTTCGTACATGTATGTGCGCATATATATATATATATATGTATTTATATATCTGCATATATGCCTATATATATGCATATCTATGATGTATATACGTATATATGTATATATATTCGTATATATATATATATATGTTTGCATATCTATATGCCTACATCTGGTTTTAAGCAGATAGAGGTGCACAGAAACGCAGTTTGTAGTATCACTACTACTGCTGCCCAGCTAGCCGTTCACTGCATTCGAGCTGCATGGCTAGCAGGGCCACTGCTTGCTTCCAGCTAGCTGTCCTGCGGGTTTCTAATTTGCGAGTGCTCTTCGTTCTGCTGCTGCTGCTGCTGCTACTGCAGGTTGTGTACGGTCGGTGGCGCAAGTGGGAGAAGCGGTTTGTGAAGACGGAGGGCGGCAGTTTGTCTTTGGCTGAGGCCCGGCAGGTGCTGCACGACGGGCAGGCGCTGCAGCAACAGCTGGAGATAGGGGCTTGGCTGCGTCCTCTTTCGGTGTACGTGGAGCAGTGTGCTGCCTTTACAGACAGAGCGCGCTCGCTACTGGACCGAGCAGCTGCTGCTGCAGTTGCTGCTGCAGCTGTGCGTGTTGGATGGGCTGTGGGGTCTCTAGACGGCTTCCGCCGCAAGGGCACTCTGCTGCCTGAAGATCTGATGCATGTCCTCGAGCTGCAGACACACCGCAAGCAGGCGGAGCCAACTGCAGCAGCATCTGCGTCAGCAGCCAATCGAGACGCAGCACCAGAGCGACGCAGGGCGCCCTACGAGCAGCTTGTTGAGCTCATCGCTATCCACGGTGAGCTGCAGCCAGGGCCTTATGCTTCTTTTGTTCTTGCTGCTGCTGCTACTGTTGCTGATTTGGCGCGTCGTATAAGGATTTGCTGCTGCTGTTGTGAGTTTGTTGCTTAAGCGGGGTATTGTGTGCTCTTCCGTGTTGCTGCTGCTGCTGCAGAGGGCCTAGTGATAAAAAACTGGGGCCTTCATGGAGACCTTGTAGACCTCAGGGACAAGGCACAGCGGTGGCTGAAGAGGGCCCAGGACCTTCTCGCCATTCCGCAGCAGCCAACGCCCTCGCAGCAGCAGCAGCAGCAGCAGCAGCAGCAGCAGCAGCAGCAGGTCGGGGACGTGGAGGGTGTGCGTGGCGATTCAGCAGAAACAGCAGACAGTACAGCAGCAGGAGCAGGAGCAGCAGGAGCAGAGGGAGCAGCAGCCACTGCGGAGCCTCTGCAGAAGGCACTGCGTTCCTTGCTTCCTTGCAGCGCGAACACTGTGCGCCTTGCTGCGCTGCTGCTGCTGGAAAGCGACTCTGTCTGCTGCTGCCCCGAGCTCGAGACACGGCTGGAGCAGCTGCTGCTGTATGCACTCTGGCGTGGGAGGGTCGCTAGGCTGCGGGCCCCAGCCCAAGACACCGTCGTGGAGGAGCTGCTTGCTGCACCCTCTCTGCAGCACTGTAAGCCTTGGGACATGTCGATGCTGGTGCTGCTGCTGCTGCTGTTCCTGCTGCTCTAGGTGCTACCTGGGTTCCTCCTGCTGCTGCCGCCGTTGCAGGCTGCAACGGTGGTAGCCGCTGCTGTGGGCAGGCATAGACAGACCAGGCAGCGAAGCCCGCCGCCTGCTGCTGCGGCTGCATGCGACCAATCTCATCCGCTGTTCCTGCTGCTGCTGCTGCTGCTGTGTGCTGCAGTCTCCGAATGGATAGACACCACAACACCTGTCTCCGTGCTTATGGCTCGCGAAGCTGCTGCTGTCAGCAAACCGCCCCGCTCAAGAGGCCGCGACCAGAGGGCTCAGGCGGCCCTGCAGCTGGAGGCTGCTGCTGTTGCAGCTAACGAGAAGCAGGCTGCTTCACCTGAGGGCGCAGCAGCAGCAGCAGCAGAAACAGTGAAGGCAATGGATGTTGACGAAGCACGCGCCGGAGACGCCTCGCAGCAGCGTGAAAAGGTGGAGCCACTCCAGCAGCAGCAGCAGCAGCAGCAGCAGCAGGTGCTGGATAACAGCAAACAACAACAGCAATGGGCAGAGCTGACCGCTCTGCCCGAGCTAGAGTTCTTAAAGGCGCTTAGTGGCATTGCTGCGGACTGGCAGCAGAAGGCACAACAGTAGGACATCTCCTTGCCTGCATCTCGCTGCTGCTGCTTCTGCTGTAGTTCGGCTGCTGCTGCTGTTGTTACTGCAGTAGATGGTCCTGCTTCCGATGCCTCAGCAAGCTCCCTTGAATAATGTGCTGCTGTCTTTCTTTATAGAGATGCTGCTGGTGTTGCAACTGTTGCTGGTGCAGGTTGCGCGAGGCTGTTCCGCGTCCGCGAGCGTCTGAGTGGCAGAAGCTGCTGCTCGAGGCTGAAGACCTGCCTGTACACCTGACTGCGGTTCGACAAGACATCGCGCAGGCGCTGCAGCAGCAGCAGCAAGTGGAGGGTGAGCTCGCTGCTGCGCTGGCCTCTCCAGAGACGGCTGCATCATTGACCCAGTTGCGCGAGCTGCAGACCCGAGCAAGCAGCTGCAGCGTGTACATTAGCTGCTTGGGGGATACGGAGAAGAGGTTGCAGCAGCTGCAGCAAGTGGAAGCAGCAGCTGCCCTTCATCTTCAAGCTGAGGACAAGCCTCGAGTGGAGCTGCAGCAGTTTGTGGAGCAGCAAGAGCAACTGTTGCAGCTACCTGAGCATACACCCGATTTGCCTTGGTTCACGCGCCTCAAGGATGCCTGCAAAGCTGTCTCTCGCTGGATAGAGGAGACAGATCAGCTGCATGCGCGCGGGGTGTCCTTGCGTCAGTGGCAGCAGCACGTACGACGGGGGCAGAGCCTCAGAATCAAGCCAGAAGGGCTGCAGGAGCTGCAGGAGCAGCTGCAGCAAAGTGCAGACTGGTGTGTGGTGTATCAACACCTCCTGGAGCTTCGCGCGACGGTCCGCTGCCACAGTGCAAGTGCCGCCGCTGGTGTTATTGCAGAGATGCTGCAGGACAGCTCGGGGCCTCTGACGATCCTGCCGCCTGGAGCAGCAGAAGCAGCAGCAGCAGCGGCTGCTGCTGCTGCAGCGACACCTGGTCTGCAGCAGGAGCAGCAGGGGACACGAGTGAGGGGCTATGTCTCTTTGCTGGATGCGGAGCGGTTGACTCGGAAGCCCTTTGGCTTGGGCAAGTCTCTGCTTCCCTTTGCAGAGCTGCAGCAGCACGTCAAGACTGCGCAGCAGCTAAGGGAGCGCTGTGCTGCTGCGCTGCAGCAATCGTACAGGGAGCGTGCAGCGTGTCTGTTTGGGATCGCCGCGGGAGTCGATCCCCAGCCGGACTTCGCCTCTCCAATTTCAGAGTCCCAGGTGTTGTTCCTGTTCCGTCAGCAGCAGAAGGCTGCTGCAGAATTAGCAGGAGACGCAGCAGCAGGAATTGCTGCTGCTGTTGCTGCAGCTGAAGGCGTTGGGGAACAGCAGCAGCAGCAGCGACTGCTGCTGCTACAAAGGGAACAAGAGCAGCAGATACTTGCGTTGCAGCTGCTGTCCCCTGATGCAGCAAATGCACTTTTGTGGAGGACGACCAGGAGACTGAGACGACTTGCTGCTGCATGCGCTGCCAGCCGAATCCACATTAAAGAGAGGCGGCTGCTCAAGGTAGAGGTGCGTATACACCGCATGCATGCACAGGAAGTCCCGTGTTCCTGGTTCCTATTCGGTAAATGGCGTCGCGGGTCGGTATTGTCAGGACATATGAGGCTGCTGCTTCTTCTGCTGCTGCTGCTGCAGGTTCTGCTGCGGCTGTACAACCACCGCATGCTCTCTCTTCTCCGGTGCCCACGGCATACACTGGCCGAAGCCGAGCAGTTGCTGCAGCAAGTCCGTCGCCCGTTTGGTTCCCTTTAGGGCTGCCTATACGCGTGCAGTCGCATGCATGCATGCAGCCAGCGAATGCATATATGCCTTTATGCTTGCTCTTGTGCAATTGCTGCTACACTGATGATTGCGCGCGTTGATTGGGGCTTTTTATGCATGCAGATTGAGACGCGAAGGCTGCAGGTCAGAGAATCTGGAGGCGGTCTCAAGGGTCCTACGCCTTCAACTGAGGGCCCCGCTGCTGATGAGGCTGCAGCAGCAGAAGGTGATGAAGAGGAAGAGAGTGCTGAGCCGCAGCAGCAGCAGCAACAGCAGCAGCAGCAGCAAGCGACCTCCGCAGCTGCTGCAGCCCAGCAGCAGCTGTTCGAGCTGCAACTGCAGCTGCAGCAGCAGCTGCTGCCACCTCAGCCGCAGCCTCAAGAAGAGCCACCGCCAATGCGTATATCCCCTGTGAGGACACGCAGGCGGCAGCAGCTGGGTCTGGAGGATGAAGAGCAGCAGCAGCAGCAACAGCAACAGCAGCAGCAGCAACAACAGCAACAGCAGCAACAGAATCAGCAGCAACAGAAGCCGCCAGTCCCCACTCGCCGCAGCGCTCGTGCGCCGCGCCGCCCAAGGATGCATGGAGACGTATTGATACCGCTGACGACCCGTAGATCGGCCAAGGCTGAGGAGGGAGGCGAAACAGCAGCAAGTGTTGGTGCTGCTGTGTCTCCTTCCGGTGACCAACAGCACGAGTGTGTGCAGCAGGAGCAGCAGCAGTTCGCACAGCTGCAGGAGCAGCATGCTGCCGACGCAGAGGACGCGGGTGCTGCCCCAGAGGCAGCAGCAGTAGCGGCGGCGCCAGCAGCAGCGGGTGCGGACGTAGCAGCAGGGGCAGCAGCAGAAACGGCAGCAGGCGGAACAGTGCCGACAGGAGAAGCTTCAGGAGACCCTTTTGCAGGGGCTGGGGCAGCGGAGGAGCTTAGTGAAGATGAAGAAGAGACATTAATGCTACAGGAGCTGCATCCTTTGGATGGATCGGCCGGCGCTTCATTTCTGCTGCAGCAGCAACAGTTGCTGCTGCTGCCAAAGCAAGAAGGGGAGGGTGCTGACGAGAAGCCTCCTTCCCCTGAGGGCGTTCGAGTGCTGGCGCTGGTGCAGGAGCTGCAGCGATGCGAGGGCTGCAGCGCCGCCTCGCCTATTGTGTCTTTGCCAGTTGAGTTGGTGGATGGCCCTGCGTACATGCGGCTGAGAGGCTTAGTAAGGGACACAGAGAATTGGCTGCAGCAATACAGATGCATGCGCCTGCCGGTGGTGCGGGAGGCGCAGCAGCCGCTGCTAGATGAACTCCGTCTCATGCAGCGCCCTCCTCAAGAGGACGCCTTGGCGGCTCAGGCGGGCTGCTGTTTTTGTGACAAGACCGCTGCCTTTGCAGCAGCACTTGATGAGGACGAGGGCGGCGAAGAGCAGCACTGCGAACAGCAACAGCGCATGCAGCAGCAGCTGGAGGGCATCAGCCCCCCAGTCAATACCGATTTGCCTCCAGCGAGCGGAGACGCGGCGATGTACACAGACCGTGCAGAGCCCGCGGCAGCAGCTGCGAGTACAGAGGCTGCTGCGCCTGCGGAAGCGGAGCAGCAAGCAGCAGCAGAAGCTGCTGCTGCTGCTGCTAGGGCACGTAAGGCGTGGCTCGAGGAGCGCGAAGCCGCGCTACAGCCGAAGCATCCCCCGTTCGGGCCCTCATTTATATTGAAGTGCGTGTTGCTGGTGCTGCCGTTAATGACTGAGGAGCTGCAACGCCTGCTGCTATACGCTGTTACGAAGGGATTGACGCTCGAGACACTCATGGGCCTCCAAGTCCACCTCAAGTTGCTGCTTGACGTTGCTGCTGCAGCAGAGGCAGACCGCACGCAGCAGGAGCAGCAGCAGCAAGCATCCTCGCTTGAGGATGAATTACAGCAGCTGGAGCAGCAGCAGCAGCAGCAGCAGTGCCTGAGCTCAGCGGAGACTCAGGTTCTTGAAAAGGAGGGGATGGCGGCAACAGAAGCAGCAGCAGGGGCTGAGGCGGAGTTTCGTCGAGTCTGGCCTAATGGAAAGCCTCCTGGTTATGCGTTTCATCTCCTCACGGCCTATGCTCTGCACTACAAGTGCGTTGTTGCTGCTGCTACTTTTGGTGTTGCCGGTGATGGTGCTGCTGCACTTGTCTCTGATTTTGTTGGTGCTGGGCTCGGGGGCTTGTGCTGCTGCTGGTCTGGGGATGGTGCTGTTTGGACTGGGTTTGCTGCAGCAGGCTGCTACTGCAGACTGCAGCAGCAGCAGCGACTGCAACATTTGCAGCTCCTTTTTCTTGTTGTTGTTGCGGTTGCGTTTGTATAGGCAACTTACGGGCGGGAAGATCAGCTGGCCTGTCTCCGATGTGCGGTCTCTCCATCCGTCTTTGCTGCGCCTTATTGAGTCGAAGGCAAAACGCAGGGGAGACCATGCGGTGCGCCATGCTGTTGCTGCTGGGTAGACACACGATAGCTGCAGCAGCAGCAGCAGGAGCAGCAACAGCAATAGTTGTGATGCGGCTAGCTCCAGGGCCAGCGCTTTTGTAGCGGTGGAATACTCAGAAACTTCTGCTCAGCTGTCGCTCTTCTTGCTAGACATGCAGTGCTTTGCTGCTGTTGTTGCTGCTGTTCTCTGCAGTCTACTCACGGCCTGTGGCTAACCAAAGGAGCCAACGCTCTTCCGGGGAAGGCCCGGGGGCCGAGCAACACGAAAAAGCAGCCAGCGGGTGTAGGCGAGACTGCAGCTGTGCAGCAGCAGCAGCAGTACACCCCTGAAAACACGGATGCTGCTGCCGCTGTTGCGCCTCAGCATCAGCAGCAGCAGCAACTGTCCCAGAAGCGTGCAGCTACTCGGCAACAGTCCCCAGGAGTCCCAGCAGGTGGCCATGGGAAGAGAGTTAAACTAGCGGAGGCCTCAACGGAGCTCACCAGCGAGCAGCAGCAGCAGCAGCAGCTGCAGCAGCATATGCAGGACGAAGTATCTGTGGCCGACTGTAGCGTATCTTCTGCAATTCGGGATGAGTCGCAGCACGCAGGGCCTTTGCAGCAGCAGAATGCAGCAGCTGGAACAACAACGGCAGGAGGACCTTCAGCAGCCGCTGCTGCTGCTGCAGTAGGAGGCTCGTTCCCCCAGCTGGGCAGGCGAGCGAAACAGAGCCACAATTACCCTTGCCGCAACACAACTCCACGAATAGGAGACGGGCGTAGGGTCCGTTGTTTCTCCTCTAAGGAGATGCTGAGGGCTTCAGGGATACCGCTCCCCACCTTCAGGGAGGGGTTGTTACTGCTGCTGCGCATCTGCTGCTCCGGTGGCTTCCTCACGGGAGAGACAATCTTGCTGCAGGCGCTGCTGGTGGCCCAGCTGCTGCTCAGCTGGTGGCTGCGCCAGCAATACCCCTTCCTGCAGCAGGAAGAAGATCTCATGCGGAGGCAGCGCAGCGAAGCAGAGCAGGAGAAGACGGCAGCAGCAGCTGCTGCCGCTTCAGGGGACACCGAGAAACAGCAGCAGCTGCTGCGATCAGCTCAGCAGCAACTCGTCCCAACTGCTCAAGGTACTCTGGCCCTCCCCTTACGTCGCCGCATGCAAATCTGCTGCAGCAGCAAAGCCCCAGCCTACCAGAACCCATATCGATGCATTGCTGCCACGGGCTTGTGCTCGAAGGAGGGCGTGATGAAGGTGTTGGAGAAGCAGAAGGAGTTGCAGCAGCAGCAACAGCAGCAACAGGAGAGCCAACGGGACATGAAGACCCGTCTTCTCGATTGGCTGCGAACACCTACCGAGGAGGGCTGCAACCAGCAAAAGGAGCAGCAGCAACAGCCAGGTGCTGCTGCTGCAGAGGGATTCTTTGAGACTGAAAGCGAAGTAGAGGAGACCCTGCAGGATCTATTCGATCCCCAGTTCGCCCGGCAGCTACTTATACAGCAGGAGCTGCAGCCATCCGCTTCGGGCGGCCGTAGTATGGACGACCAGAAGGCGCAGCTGCAAGACAAGCTGCCGCTTCAGCAAAAAGTGTTTCAGGAGCAGCAGGAACTGCAGCAAGACCTGCAGCAGGACTTGCAACAGCAGCGGCGGCAGCAGCAGCAAGAGGCTGTCACTCAACCTGTGTCCCCCCTAGGCGATGCAACGCCTCCAGCTGGAGCGGAAGTAGCAGCAGCTGCAGCTCTAGAAGGGGAGGGCCCGGGTGAAGCAGTCAGCATTCAGCAGCAGCAGCAGCAGCAACGATTGCGCAGGCCTCCTGTGGGGCTCGCTGGTGCTGAGACGGCCTTCTGGCAAGGAACGCCTTGGGACGTTGGGCTTGAGGATTGGGAAGTCCCTTCACTTGCTTTTGGTCTTGCAAGGCAGCAGCAGCAGCAGCAGCAGAATGGCTGTGTGCTTGAGGGCATGGCGGTAGATGACTCTTCCAATGCCCCTGCAGCGTCTGAGGAAGAAGAGGTACAGCGGCTTCTTCAGCTGCTGCAGAACATGGCCGGTCCTGTGCTGCGGGACGATGCAGCAGGCAGCAGCATGCGGTGCGTACAGCACATCTCTCGGATGTCTCTGGATAACACCAACAGCAGCAACGGCACCGAGGCTGGGGGCCCCAGTGTCTCCGCAGCTACAGTGTGGCTGTATCGTCGATCCCTGCTGGACTTTGACTTCTACGAGAACGAGGATGTGATGCAGCAGCAGAGAGAGCAGCAGCAGCAACAACAGCAGGAGCCGCTGCTGCCAGAGTCGCGCAGCCGGAGACTGTCTCCTGATCGGAGGCAGCTGTTGGAGGAAGCTCTAAGGGCCCCGCTGCCTCAGGCTTCTCTGCTGTCTCTGCTTCGTCTCCTAGAAGTTCTAGACGGTCTCCCGTTGCAGCTGCCGCTGAAGGGTCGCGTTGCTGCGCTGCTGCTGCATGCAGTCGATTGGGCAGTGCGGGCTAGGGAAGCCATCTGTTTCCTTCCGAGGGTAAGTGCTGCTGATGTTGTTGCCTCTGCTGCCGCTGCAGCCTCGTTGTATCCCGTCGCTAAAGGACTGCCTCAGAGTCCTGATGCTGTTTTGCTGCTGCTGCTGCTTCTGCTGCAGGATGGATATCGCCGCCCGTGGACTCGTCTCGACGCAGCCACAGATCCGCTTGTCCCGGTGTCTCGGCAGCTGCTGCGCCACCACTTGCTGCTGGCAGATGACTCTGGAGAGCAGCAACAACTGCAGCAGCAAGAGCAGCAACAGCTAGTGCCTGGTACCGCGCCTGCTGAAGTGGCCCAGAAGCCGGAGCCAAGGCTTTCCGTTTCATCTGACCCTGAACAGCAGCAGCAGCAGCAACAACAGCAACAGCAACAGCAACAGCAGGAGGCTGAATCCTGTAATGAGTGGTTTATCGCAGCGGAACCAGCTGTGTGCTTGACCCCCATTCAGCGTGCCTTTGTCCAGCTGCAGGAGGCTGCGCTGCTGCTGCACGCGGAGCCAGCTGAGGTTTGTCTACTATGCAGCAAGCCGCTGCAGCAGCAGGACTCCCCGCAGCACCCATGTTTAGTGTACAGGCAGCACTATAACAGGCGGCAGCAACTTCGAGCAGTTTTAGGATGCAAAGTCGATGACCCTGCTGCTGTAGCAGAAGCAGCAGCAGCAGCAGAAGAAGCTTATATGCAACAACAGCAGCTGCTGCTACCCCTTGACGAAGATGGAATGGGTGGCTGGATCAGCTGCAGCTACTGCAGCAGGAGATTCCACGTTAATTGCGTGTCGCAGCTTGCGAGCAAACAGCAGCATTCGGAGAGTGAGAGCGCAGCGGCTGCTGTTGCTGCTGCCTCGACCCCAGGGGTTGGCAGCAGCAGCGGCAGCGTGCTGTTGCTGCCTCCACCCCCCGATTGTGGGGGCCCGTGGGTATGCGTGGGGTGTACAGCCAGGGGGGCTGGAGCAGCAGCGACATTACAGGACTTTGTGAGGCTCAGCGGAACGCGAGTGGCGCAGCTCTTCTCGTTGACGGCCGCAAGGGTCTCGCTCCCTGCTGCTTCTAGGGTAGGGCTCTGCTACTGCTGCTGCTTCGATTGCTGCTGCTGCCGCTGCAGCTCCGACTGCTGCGTATGCCCTGTAGCGTTGCTCACATATTACTGGGCTTGTGTACGACGTGTGCTGACGACTTCTGCCTTGGCTCCTGAATCCTGCTACTGTTGTACTTGCTGCTGGGTGCGTTTCAGGTGCTACGACTGCTGCGGGAAGCAGCAACTTTGCCGGTGCAGCACGTGCTACTGCAGGAACGCGAGGCGCTGCAGCAACGCATATGTTTGCTGCGCCTGTGGGTTCGAGACGCTCTAAAGATGTTGCTTGAGTTGCCAGCTCCAAACTGCATCTTCCGGGTGTCTGAGGAGGTGCAGCAGGAGCGGGTGCAGCACAGGCTTCAGCTCGAAGACGAGGCACCTGCTGCGTCGTCAGATGCAGCCACTGCTTCGGATGCTGTGGTGTCTGCTGCTGCAGCAGACGTGTCAGCTGCATCAGGTGCAGCTGCGGCTCAGCAAGAAGAGCAATCAGCACCTCTGCACACTGCTGCAGACACGGGGGGGCAGCAGCTTCAGCAGCTCGGGAGAGGAGCAGAGACACAAGACATGGACGAAGGGTACAGTGCGATGCAGCAGCAGCAGCGGACGGAAACAGGGGCTCCTCCGCCGCAGGATGAGGTGCAGCAGCAGCAGCAGAAGCAAATGGAGCTGCTTCTATGCACCGGAGTAGAGCCTGCAACCCGCGACGCAGCAGAAGAAGAGACTGCGGAGAGCCGCCACCTGGAGGCTGCAGCAGGTGAACTAAAGGATGGCGCAGCAGCAGAAGCAGCAAGTATGCGGGGCCGCAAAGCAGCAGCAGCAGACCGCAACACACGAACACGCAGCGGTGCACTGAGGACAGCTTCGGCGCGAGATTTGCTGCTGATGTCAAAGAAGACAGGGATTAAGAAAGGCCCCTACGGCAGGACGCCTCGCCCCGGCCCTGGGAGAGGACGGGGGAGGGGAGCCCACCACGGAGCAGGAGCAAGGGCCTACTTGGGTGCAGCCGGGTCTAGGAGTGCTGCTGCTCAGCAGCTACCGGCCGCAGCAACAGCAGCAGGGGGAGCTGCAGCGGCAGCAGCAGCCGCAGCTGCTGCTGCCGCTGCTGAAGAATACGATGAAGAGGTCGCTGCGCAAAGACGCAAACATGGGGAGACAGTTGAAGATTTATTGATGGGATGCATCGTCTCTGCCGGACAAGGGGGTGCGAGAGATGTAACAGAAGAGGACCTGGATGAAGATTTAGTTATTGCCCTTCCCCGTGGTCTGGGGTGCCTGTACACCCGAGCGCGGAGGCGAAGAGACGAGGGCCTTCCCCTCGATTTACTAGCCCTCTCTGTGCTGCTTGCCACTGGGGTTCTCTGTGGATTGGGCTCTGTCTCCGAGCTGTCACTTCTTGGCCGTCTCCTGGTGCGACTGCAGGAGTGGGCTGCTGCGCTGCGCTTCCTGACAGAGACACTTCCGCAGCTGCGGAGCGGCAGTAGCAACGGCGCAGCAGCTCCAAGTGAACCGCTACCAAGTGTCTCCATTGGGGCGCTGCAGCTGCTGCTCACCGAAGCGAGGCCTTGTCCCCGCATTCGGGTCCCCTGCAGCTTAGCAGCTGAGCAACTGCTGCTGAAGGGGCAGCAATTGCAGCAGCAGATGGTTGTTGCGCTGCTTCAGGCAGAGCGGGACGCAGCTGAGCAGCTGAAGCAACACGAATTGTTGCAACAGGCGCAGAAGCGCCGCGAGCAGCTTCTGCAGCTGCAGCCACAGCAACAGCTCCAGTTGGGCGACGCTGGTGGGCAGGAACATGGAATAAGGGAAGAGCTGCAGCAAGTTGAGGCGAGTGTGGCAGCAGCAGAGACAGCGCATGCAGCAGCCGAAGCAGCAGTTGGCAGGAGTAACCAGCAGCTGCTCGATCTGGAGCAACAGCTGCACAGCAGCGGTATTGGTGGGCTCCAGTATGAGCCGCTGTTCCACGAACTCGTTGCTGCCTGCGCCTGGCAGCGGGAGGCGGAGGCCCTTGCAGCTTGTATCGAAATGGAGTCTGATGCCACACGCCAGCAGCAGCAGCAGCAGCAACCCGGACTTGTGAGCAGCCCAAAACCCCTTCCCCCAGCATACCGCAACACTGCTCACCTATGGCGGATGGTGCAGGTGTACGAACCACTGCGTCACAAGTGCAATGCCCGCATCAAAGCACAGGAAGAGCTTCAGCAGCAGCAGCAACAACAACAACAACAGCAACAACTGCAGCAGCAAGAGCAGCAGCAGGAAATGCAGCAAGAACAGCAACAGCAACAGCAGCCTGGAGAAGCACATGGATCCAGACAGTCTGCAACTGAAGAGGATGCGAAGCAGTTGGAACTGGCCCCTCTGGCAGCATGCAGCAAACGATTCCTTGTAGTGGGTGCTCCCATCCTGTCTTTGTTGCGGTCAACTTTAGAGCGCGTGTTGGAGTTTGAAAAGAGGGTGAGAGAACTGCAGGTTGTGGGGCCCTTGCCTCAGCTGGTGCTGACGGAGGGAGGATCAGCATCAGCTGCGGTGGTTCTACCTGCCACAAAGGGACCAGCTGCGCTGCTGCCGCAAAATTCCCAGCAGCAGCAACAGCAGCAGCAGCCACAGCAGCCGCAGCGGTTGTCGTGGGCTGAGTGGCTCTCTCTAGTTGAAGGCGCCAATAACTTGGGGCTGGATGTTGAGTCAGCAACTCTTGTGAAGCAGCTGCATGCACGGGCCCTGATATTGCAGCAGAAAGTGCAAAATGCTGTTGCAGCGCAGCCGATCTCTAGTCTAGAGGCAGCACGTGCGATGGTGAGTGATGCTCTTGACTTTTTTTCTTCTGCTTCTGCTTCTGCTTGTGCTAAGGTGAAAGCACTGGCCGTTTCTGTTGCTCCTAGCCGGGGACACATACTGCGAATGTAACTTGTGGGCTGCTGTTGCTGTGCTGCAGCTTGTGGAGGCCTCTAACTTGCCGGTGGAAACGGGAGGCATTGGTGCAGTCTCTGCTGCCATTGCTGCTGTCGACGCCTGGGAGCAGAAGGCAGAGGCGGCCTTGCAGCAGCTGCAGCAGCAGCTCCAGCTGCAGCAGCTGCAGCAGCGTTGCGGGCTGCCGCCGCAGCAGTTGCTGCAGTTGCAGCAAAGCCAAGCCCCGCGAACAGAGGCTCTTTGGACCCTCATAGAAGAGGCTTCGAAGCTACCGATTCTCCCTGACGGAATCCCGGCGTATATACGCCTTAAGAAAGTGAGCAAAGATTTATTGTTTAGGCTTATGAGTGAAGGTCTACCTCCAAGCGTTTGGCTTTCAGGCTTGTATTTGTAACGTACGGCCAGCAGTATACAGTGATGTGGATTAACGGTTTAGAGTTTGCTTGTGGTGTTTGAACAGGCTGCGGAGGAAGCGGATAAAAAGCTGCTAAGCGACAGAAACGTGGCGCAGCAGCTGCTGCTTTTGCAGCAACTCAAGGATGCTGCTGCTGCTCCGGCAGCTGACGCCGCGTTGCAGCAGCAACAGCAGCAACTGTTGCTGCTACAGAAGGGACTTCATTCTGCCGCAACAGCTGCGGCTGCATCATCAGGGGAGCCATCTGCATTGCTCCAAGCGCAGCAACAGCCGCAGCAGCAAACTTTCCAGCAGCCGTTGCCGCAACAGCAGCAACAAAACCAACCTATGCTGCAGGCCGGAGCTCTTGGCCTCATAATGCAGCAGCTGGCGCAGAGACATGTAGGCGCGGAGAGGGGCTTGATGTTCAACCTGCCATTGGCCCAGCAGCTCCAGCACTTGCACCAGACGCAGCAGCAACTGCAGCAGCAGCTGCTTCAGCAGCAGCAGCAGCCGCAGAATAATCACCATAGGCAGCAACAACTGCAGCTTCAGCAATATCAAGTGCAGCAAAAGCTGCAGCAGAATCAGCAGCAGCTTCTGCAGCAGTTGCAGCAGCAACCGCAGCAGCACCAGCAGCTGTTGCAGCAGCTGGAGCAGCAGCAACAGCAGCAACTGATCTCTCAGCAGCAGCAGCAGCAGCTACTGCAGCAACAACGGGGCGGTAGAGGCCGTGGCGGGGGTAGCAGGGGCAGCAGCACCAGCAGTAGTAGGCAGAAACGCAGGTCCCCCTCCGCTGCAGACGCCTGGAGTGCAGCAGCAACATCGGCTGCAGCGCCCACTTCAGTGGCGCAACCTTTACAGCATCAAGGCGTACCTCCTCATTTGCTACTGCAACAGCAGCAGCAAATGCCTCCCAGTTCGGCTGCTGCTGACAGGGAGCAGCCGATGCCACCCGTGCAACTGTGACTGAACTGAGTTGAATCGCTACACTTTGTGTGACGTCCGCAGCGGCCACACAGGCGGCTGCGATGCTAGCAGCAGCAGTGGTGGCAACAGCACAAGTGGCTGCTACTAGTGCACAGTGCTGCAGTTGCCGGATACGCCACGTATGTTTCTTGATTTTGGTTTAATTTGACCAGCGACGCCTGGCGCCCATTTCTTACGCTTGAAGTATACTTAGTAGATATGCTACCTGCGGGACTCGGCTTTTGGGGGGAGGGGGGCGGTGGGGGGGGTGTTGGTTGCACCGAGAACAGCAGGAAGAACCTGGTTTCAGGCTGTTAGCGCCATACGAAACGTCATACTTCGCCTGCAGCTGCCTGCATGCTGAGCGCACTGAGCTGCAGCAACAGCAGCAGCAGCAATGCTAGTTAGTACAGGGGTGGTAGCACTGCGAGAAGAATTAATAGAAAATGAAGGGAAACAGGAGATGAGGGGCTGGCAATCCGTAGCCAACCTGTGAGCAGAGAAGCATGCAGCAGCTTCCGACGGAACAAGCTACACGTAAGCCTCACAGCTGCTTCCTTCCTGCTTCCGTCTGGCCCCCTGAATAGAGCGGCACAGGGTCCCGGGGCTGGTGCAGCTCCCTCTGGGTTGCATCAGCTCCAGCCGGGAGGGCAAGCCCATAGGTAACCATACTCAGGATAGTTGACTCATGCACTAATACAGCAGGCAACGCGCTAACAAGAACTCAGATTCCAGTGGCCACGGAGCAGACAAACAGGGATGCAAGCACCTACTTCTGACAGACCCCGCCACGCCATACGTGAGCACTTGCTCACGAAGGTATGCGATAAAGATCCCAGGACCGTCGAGGGCCGCAATCGAGCCAAAATACCTTACTTAAGAGTTCCTAAGCGGCAGAGATCCTTCCCAGTCCCCAGCGTGGGGATGGAGGAGAGGTGCACGGTATGCTCACACGCAAACACAAGAAGCTAACGTCTTGCTGGATGCACCACCTTTGTAGACAATTGTTGCACAGATTCTGGCACGTAAGATTCCCACTGAGGCCAAGTAATCGTTCATGCACCAAACTGGGACGGACCACGCTGCTGACCCATTACGGTAGGTTCCCTCTCGCAGGGGTCTGCTTGGCAGGCGCAAAGCTAGGCGTGTAAGCCTGTCCAATGCAATTCGCATCTTGGAAGAGGCAAGCAGCAAAGAGAGTATTTTTGAGGCGGTTGCGGTGTGCTGGCGTAGATGCAGCGCTTCAGCTGCATGCACGAGCCACGTGCGAAGGCTGAGCGCTCCCGTGCTTCTCAGGCTTCTTACTGCTCCCGCACTGTCTACGTATACCATCGAGTGGCTGTCAAAGATAAAGTAAACAAACTTTTTGTGTCATCTACCCTAATCAGAAAATTTCCACGGATTGCATCAGCGTTTGACTTTTTTGCGCTCTTTCCACGGCTGCTCGCCGAACTTGTCCTCTGTTGGACTTTGCGTTGCTTTTACTGGCTGTGATCGTCAGCCTCTTTAACTGATTGTGGCCGAAGGCCCATGTTTGTAGTGTAATGAAAATCAATTTTTAGTTATTTCAGAAGCCGCAGCCGACGCGGGGGAATTTCTTGCTAGCCTGGCAGGGGCGCGAGCGGCCCTCCGGCGAGGGCTGCCACCTGTTGTCGTGGTAATTTTCCTTGCCATCGTCCGGTTGATGGGTTCATTGCATTCTGAGCTTTAGTTAAGGCCAAATAGGCGTGGAACGAGACGGTAGTCTTTGCTAGGGGCCCGGAGGATGCTGTGGGTTTCCGGGACAGTTGTTGCCAGTTGGCTATGCTCCCAAGCTCTCTTTTGTGAGAGTGTTGCTGCAGGGAGCGTCTGGAATGTCTTAGATACGGAGTCCATGCCAAATAGATCTGTCTCGTATGATGACTATTCGGCTGATGTGCCGGGTATCATTTTCACGGAAACCCAGTCGAACGACAGGACAGCCGCCCGCGGTGGGTCAGTCGACGTGACCGTGAGCGCCAATTTTGCATCTTCATCCCTAAGAACAGAGGAGGACTTCCCAGCCGAGCCTGCGCAGGTTACGGCGGAATCTGAACCGCTTCACATTAAAAAGGGCAGAAGAGGGATAAGGCTGGGCTCTGCAGCCGCCCTTAGTATTGCGGTCCCTTTCTTCTTTTTGATCTTAGGACTACTTGCAGTCCGATCGCTCAGAGTTCCTGCGGGTTTGAAGCCACAAGAAGAGTCTTTGGGTCAGGAGGAGCAGCAGTCGCAGCTGCAGCAGCAGGGGCAAAAGCATGAGAGCGGTGGGAGAGAATTGGGGGAAGTATTGCTGCAGCAGGTGGATGAGCTTCTGCAACTGCAGTCAGTCGCTGCCAACCTAGCCGAGGCTGTAGAGACTAGGGAATCTCATCGCTCTTTAATGAAGCTTTGGAAGAGTGTAGAGATGGCCAGAGGGATGCAGCAGCTCTTGGTGCGTTCTCCGGGGCCATCGGAATGCACCGCATTGAGGGAGGTTCTGAACAGAGGTGTGGATGCATTGTCTGAGTTGTATGAATTAAGTCGGCAACGAGGACTGCAACTGGTGCGAGAGACGCGGGCAGTTCAGCCAACGAATGACTTTTCAAATCAGGAACTGAAGACAATGGAGACCTACTTGGGTTCAAACCTTGTAGAGGCGCTAGAAAACCACATGGCTAGTCTTAGATATTCCTGTTTTGCGTTTAAGCAGAAACTGGAGCAAACGGAGGTTTCGCTGGAGGGCCTGCCGGACTTTTTAGGACTGGAGGACTGGAGGCTCTTGGACGCTGTTGCAGCCAATTTGAAATTTCTCAGGGCAGCTCACCAGGCAGCAAAGGTGGGGCTGCAGTCTGCTGAAGAATTAAGGTCTGACGTTGTGACTGTGACTCTTTCTCACATCGTGAGGGAGCAGACTCGCATGCACAGAGACTGCCGAGACCTTCTGGATGAACGGCGAGCCCTGTACAGAGCGGTGAAAGAGCGGCAGCGGGCTCTTTCTGACGAGAACACGGCCGCCGTACAGGAACTCGAAACGGTAGAGGATCTTCTGAGCAGAGCGGAGCAGCTGCTGCAGCTCCACCGCGGAGAGATAGAAGAACTTCAAAGCGAAAGGGAAATCGTGCCCGGAGAAGCAGCGAGGCAACAGGCCGAACGTGTGGGGAAGGAGCTACTGGCGGTGCTGGATGCGGCGTTTGCTCGTCTGCAGTGTTCTAGGGAAATCAGGTCTGATCATAATGTGGAGAGCACTTACAGAGTTTTAGCTTCGAGGGCCAGCCAAGAGGCAACAGAGTCCAGTAGGAGGGTGTCAGACATCGAAACGGAGGTGCACTCGAGGGTGGCCTCGCATGGGTCTCTTTCTAGAATGAAGCATTTAGAGGAGCAGGGAGAAACGCAGGAAAGGACACTTATGAACGTTTCGATTATGAAGTTGCTGACAGAATCGTTCGAACATATCGTAGAAAATGCAGAATCAGCTTCTCGCCAGGCCAGGAATGCAGCTGACTCGACTTCGGAAGGCAGCGAAGCGGCAATGCCCCCATGGGCTCTGATGGCCTCAGCACGAAGGGCAGCTGTGACTGCAGATACTCTTGTCGGGAACGCCGAGCTCCTGTGGTTGCATTCAAAGCTGCTAGGTTCGGTGGAGTGCGACTTGCGGGTAAGCTCCAGTCTGGCGCATGCCGGAGCAGCAGTAGTGACAGAAGGAACAGCACCGACAGGGCCAACAGCAGAAGGGCGGCAACCGTGGGTAGTGGAACTACCATCGCAGCAGAAGGCTCAGGTTGAAACTCTCAAAGGAAAAGTGCAGACGCTGAAGGGAGTGGCGCGGTCTCAATGGAGTGCGCGAGATTTGGCTTTCACAGCTGGCAATATGAAGAATGCAGCCGTCGGAATCTCGTTGATTGTTCAACATCAAGTGTTGGAACAAGTCACAGATCTCATACCATAAATAATCCAATATTCATATGCTTTTCATGCAGAGGTGTCGCCCCATTTTCTTTGCGATGTGGTGGCTCTGAGAACCTCTGTCCTTTTGTTTTTTGCGAGCTGAGCGGCGCCGCGCGAAGCTAGGCAGAGAATTGGGGATGAAGCACAGTGACAAGATTTGGAGACAACTTGGGAGGGTATACCCTTTTATGGAGAACGGCTATTGGATGGGAATATGTCGAAGTGCCATTGCAGACATTGGTGCTTTGGAAAGATGGAAGAAAGGAGCGCGCTTAGACATAGTGGATATCCTACCAATGGTGATTCCCCCTCTGTCCGTGTCTGGCAAGTCCGCTCGCACAGACTCCAAAGAGTCTTTTTCAACTTCGGGAATGCAACGTCAAAGGCTGCAAGGCCAGCCGTTCCTCCATCAGCGAGTTGGCGTGGTGGGGGGCTCCGTATCCCTTTGTTCAGGTGGCTTAACGCGGCTGTAAGAAGACACCAGTGGTGGTGCTTTTTGTAATCTAGCCATTGGTAAGCCTTGACAAAGCAGAGATACTGGGTGGTGGTGTTGCTGGAGCCGCTGTACCGCGCCAAAGAGTGTTGTTTTAATCACAGATTGTCGGCGACAGCAACAACCAACACACTAACAAATGCGTGCGTATGAATCACGTTCACACACAGAATGCCTAGGCAACAATAATGTGCAGAAATCCCGCAGGAGGGCTTTTATCCCGCTGCAATGGGGTGCTATCCTCTAGTAGAGGGAGTGCTCCGCAGTAGTTGCTGCAGCAGCTTTTTGGTTCAGGCATTGCCTCACGCCACAAACCTTCGGCTTTTCGTGTAATGTTGGAGAAATTTCTTTATTGGCTGTTTCGTCTTGCATTCTGGTCCTTTCGTCTCCCCTTGCGAGGTTTTAATGGAATACTATGCAATGCGTTTTTGAGGTTAGCTAGTTGGAAACGGAATCCAGGCAGTTCTAGAGGATATCGCTCATAAGGAGGGATCTTAAAGAAGTTGAGCAGCCTCTACGCAGGGCCCTGGTGGATGCGGGTCTTCAACAGCGTTCTGCTAATCATCAAGCGCTTAACCTGAAGGCTACTGTTAGTAGTGGTGACCGGAGAGGAGATGCGCTTGGGAAGCATACTGCTTTCCATTTCAAAACAAGAATCTGCTACTGCAAAAGGACTACCTATCTACTCCTAGAAACTCCTGCCGCTGTGAAAATCTAGACTGCTGCTGTCTCAAGTCGCAGGGAGCGCTGTGTTAGCGCTAGCGTGCAGCTTCTGATTGTCAGCTCCAACAGCAACAACAAAGTGCAGCCTCTAGGGGCCGCTGCCAAAAATGTTTCTGTGTTGTTGGAATCAAGGCCCCAACACTTCGGCCTCCCGAATGTTGCAGGCATGCCCGCACAGTCCCACATGCCTGCAGCGACGCTACGCCATCTGTGCAATGGCAGTAGAAAGCCGTCAGTAACGTATATTCCTACAAAAATAATGCCTTGTACTCGCATGAAGAGGAATGGCCAGTGGCACCTCCAGCCAACCTGGTACTGGGGAAATTCGCCGTATCAGTGGGCGAATTGTGATTCAGGCTAAGACTGACGTCATCTCTGAAGCGTTCCTACTTAGTAAAGACAGCATTCCTTAGCAGCAGAGGCTTCTGCTACTTGTGAGTGAAGCATTGCCCGCAACGATGCACCGGCTGAGAGCCTTTTTCTTTAACGCCAAAAAAAGCGTAAGAAAATGCTCTCCGCTGTCGGCACATCAGTATCAGGGCGGTGTACCCGCTGCCTCTCGTTCTACCCAATTCCGTTAGCAAAAGTACGCTTGCTTCGCATTTCAATCAACGGCACAGGTCCAGACAGACTTGCGAATTACAGGGAGGAATGAGAAACCAAAGAAAGCAATCCGTACATCGCGTGATAGGCACAGCCAAGGGATCCCTGACAAAGCCGAAAATCAAATTTAGCGGTTAACATCGGACTGGCTGCAGCACTAGATGTGCACGGTGTTAGTGGTGTTGATGCTCTCCCTATAAAAGGTTCGAAACCTTTCGTCGCATCGGAACCCTTCTTAAGCTTCAACATATAATTGACAAGTACTTTATCGCGCGCTTGCTGAGTAATTCCTTTCCGCGGCCGTATACGCGTACGCGTCAAAAACATGAAGGATTACCCAGGCAGTGTCCTGCACAGCTTGCGCTCAGTGAAGACCCTTCCCCATTGCCGCTCCTCCAGAGATTCGCAAGGCCAGTCCCCGTCATGGTGAATACATTATGGGCGGGGTCAATGTGTCAAGTAGGAGAAAGCTGACACCTCTTAAATAGCACGCATAGCGACCACCGGTCCCTCCAAGCTCCCAATTGATGATAACGGCAGTCTTCTTCCACGCGTCCGAATCCTGGCCTACGGGCCTGGGGCCTTCTGATGCCCGCACATCGAGGAAAACCCACAAAAGATAACTGGAAGCATGGCTCCTTTCTTTGGACCTTCTTCGAAGGCCTACATACTATGCAGGCAAAGGGTAGCCAAGTACAGAAAAGTTGCAAGGAGTCCGCTGCTTCTTCGCCGTCGCTAATTTCGTCTCTCGCTCCAGGCTCAAGCAAAGCAGTTGCAGACTGTCCCCTTCAGAATTGTATATATTTTTGCCGCATTTTCGGAAAAAAAGAAGCACCTCTTTTCGTTGCGCCGGTGCGCCGCTGTTCTTTCTGTCCCTCCATGCCAGCAGCATTAACCCTCCGAGGCACAGGGAACCAGGTACCAGAGAGCTGCGAAAGATTACCTGATGCCCATCCTAGAAGAGCCTCAACCTGGTATATGTTTAGTACTTGATCTGTGCGTTCGAGTCAGCCAGCTCCTGCTCTACTACTCCCACGCTACTTAAGACTGCCCCTTTCATTGCTGCTGTTATTTCCACTATTTCACCAGAATCCTGTAGCGAATTGAACATATCCTTGTAGCCCTTCACCTTATCCAAGGTTGCTTCAAACTCTCGTTTCCTTGGAGAAGAAAGCTCGAGTACCCCCAGGGCTCCCGCTGGAGGGTCTAGGGCTCCTGCTCCAACGAGAGATGCCATTCTGTCCGACAGCCTGGAGCTAAGCCTCAGGTCGAGTTCAGCAGATTCCAAGAGCTGCGCCTGCAACAACAACTCGTCTGCCTTCCGGGCGAGGTTATCTGTAATTATCGTTTCCATTCCAACAGCCTGTGATGATCCCATTGCAGGTCCAACTGCTGCCGTGGAAAAATCGCGAGCTGCCGTCTTGGCATCGTCTTCGAGTTGCTGAAGGGATTCCGTCACCTTCTTCAGCAAGCTAGGGTCAAGCACTGCTTTGCTCACGGAGCTCCCCGGCGCATCAGCCTGTGTCATTTCCGACGTATCATAAAGGAGCTGCGCCCCCAGATCCGCTTCCATTAGGATATCTGCCACTCTCCTGCCCACTACTGCGGCCTCCTCACTTGCCCTCGAGGCCGCTGCCTTCATCCGTGTTCGCATTCCTCCGTTTAAAGCCTCTTCTGCATTTGCAATATCGCCGATGGAACGCATATGGATGGACGCTTCTTCCAGAAGGGTCTTTATCTCCTGTCCCAGTTCTTCAGTTAGCTGTATCGCTGGTTGTGCAGATTCGATGTCTCTTCTCTTCTGCAGCTGTTCAATCTCGGCCTTGAACGCATCCAGCAGCCGTCTTCCAGTTTCTAGCTCATTTTGCACCGCATCGAGCTCCTCTAAGGCGGCAGTGTCCTCTTGAGGGAGAGACTTCTGCCGCTCTCTCTCTGCGCTGCACAGGGCTAGCCGTTCCTGCAGGCAGTCACGGCACTCCCTGTAGATGCGCATCTGCTTCCATGCAAAGCGTGACATCACCAATGATTTTGCAGTTGATTCCAAGCCCATTGTAGAGCGCCAACCCATATCTACAACCTCATACGCTGTTTTAGCGAGCTCCACCTCTGCAGCAACAGCACGCAGCACTTGCGCGTCCTCCGCTCCTTTGAAGACCGGCAGCGACTGCAATTCTTCCTCGACCTTTTCTGCGTGCCGCTTAAAGGCGGTGCAAGAAAAATCAAGCCTTTCAAAATAAAGTGCGAGGGATGCTGCGGCGGGTAAGTCCACCCCGCTCAGGGTATTCAGCCCCTGCTTCCATTGCTGAGCAGGGGAAGGAGTTGTCAGCGCCCTTTGCACAAGAAAAAGCCCGTGTTCTCGTGCTGCCTCAACCAGACGAGACAGCTCGGAGATGCCATTCTCCAAAGCCTCCTGCATAACAGCTTCCGGCGGCGAATTCACAGAGTCCCACGAGCCGGCAGAGACCTCTCCCTGCACCTGCTTGGCCTGCTCCATGCTTTTGCAGAAGTTTAGCAGAGCAGAGCGAGACTCCCGAGAGTTCGTGACCTTTGTCAACCAGACAGCAAGTGGATGCATATCCTCCAGGTCATTCAACTGCTTTGTTAGGTCCCCGTAGTTCGTGGCTTGCTGTTGCTGCTCGGGCTGTGGCTGTTCTTCTTTCTTTTTGTCCCCAAAAGCGCCCATATATTTGCCTGCGAGCAGCCCCAAACATGCTATAAAAAGAATAGCAGCGGCGCCGAAGGTGTGGAGGGGGCGTCGTCTGCTCACGTTGCTCCTTTGTGGTGAAGGCCGTTCGGGAGCCACGTTTGATTGAATGGTCTTAGGGGCAAGAAGGTATGGTGATTCTTCTGAGGAGATTGTGGTGGGAAATTTGGGGGCAGCAGAGTCTGCAAACCCAGCAGACATGCCTGCATTTGCATGATGATCAGAAGGCAGATTTGCGGTAACCGTTGCGTAGTCGTGGAGATCTCCTGTAGTCCATGAACCAACCGACAAGGCGCTCTCGCCTTGTACTTCCGTTTGCACTTCGCTCCCGACAGAGGCAAGGTTACTGTTGGCCGCAACGGCATCGCCAAAGGCGATGCCCAGCCACCCTGCAAGGGTAAGAACAGTTAAATATTGCATTCTTCCGCCACTCTGGCTCGAGGACCCCTGGCATCTTATTAACAAGGCCTTGGGAGTTCACAACTCCCAGCAAACAGTGGAATGGCACGGAAGTACGAAAAAACAAGTAGTTCTTAATTCGGGAGGGTACTCCATAGCGACAAAGGCGCGACTCGCTGCGTCCCGCCTGCTCACGCCGAATTTCCGAAACGACCGGGAAATATCGGCTCACACCTTAGTAATATTCAACCGGAACATAATTATTCTTTATAAAAAAAGGCTGATCCCAGTCCACTCCCGTAGAAAGTCACCGCTGTGAACGGGCTACTGCGGGGACATGGGGACACAAACTCTAGCTGCTTCAACCGCGATGGCCAGCGCAGTGCCTCCTTAGGGGAGAGAATACCTATATTCCTGAGAATAAGATTCATTTCTGGGTTTAACGTGTCCCTGCAACGAGAACAATTATTCATTTCGCCCACCTTGCCGCAACGGTCATGCATCCCACTTTCATCGCTGTATTCCACTCCGAGTCAGCTGGTCGGGTACCGTTGGGCGGTTGCTCAACATACGGTCTGTCCTCCAGACAACTCAGGGGGCCTCTCATTGAATGTAATATTGTTTAAATTCGCAACACCTCAAAAAGTGCAGAGCTAAGGCGTGCCGGCGAGTAAAACGGACAGTGTACAAAACAATCCAGTTGAAGCCGTGCATTAGCCCTGCGCTTCGTCGCAGCGTTGACAGTTTTTTCCCTTTGTTTTCAGTTGCCATGTAATTGAGTTTCTTTCCCATCAACTCGGCATAAGTGGAATTCGGTAACCGCCGCGTGCTGCGCGTGAAGCGGATAGTAAGACTGCCCATGGCAAGACGCCTGCCAGCCCTCCGTCACCTTCTTCGAAAAGAGCAAGAAAATTCGGTGGAACAAGTATCGCTGGGCACGAAAAAAGCTGATCTTCTACATTTCCAAATTTCTTTCCACCAAGTGAAGCGTCACCAGTAATGAGATGTAGATGCCTCGATCCCTGGAGCGGTAACTACACTTTGCGCAGATATTCTGGCAGGCGTGCCTAAAGCCACGGCTACCTCGTAGAAAATGCAAGAACACGCATTTTCTGGCGAAAAAAGAAATAGCTAGCTTAGCAGAAGCTCCAGAATACTTCATTTGTGTTTGCGCTAGAGGCAAGCCTAAGACAACAAGACGAAAACGTTGGACTCCCTGAGAAGAAACACGGCACGTCCGCGTTTCCAACAGTAAGCTCCAACAATAAAAACAAAGAAAGAAAATGGAGGGCCGGAAGTCGTTCGGCAGCTATAAATTGGTACCCCCTCAAGAAGGCAATGAATCACGCCTTCACAAAGGGACGGCCTCAACGAAGCCCGCAAGGAAGCTCTATCGGTTGAAACCAGGTTCAAACACATTTTTGCAAAACTTCAGGAGATGCCACTCTACTCCAGCGTTGCCTCCTATGAGGCCGCAGCCCAATGCTTTTCACCGATGGGCCTTCGTTTGCACACGCTTCAAAAGAACAGCCATAACAAGGGGAAGCTCATGCCTGCTTCCCAGGCCGCAATACGAGAATCCGTCAGGGTCAACGTCCCTTGTGCATCATTCGGTTACTCTTACAATATGTGAATGCAGCCTGTGTTCGCAATGCACTGAAAAATGCACGGGGGAATAGCAAACGCGCTGCACTAGCATAGTGCGGTGTGCCTGCTACTCCACCCCCACCTCCTTGTTAAGGTAAATAGCTGCTGCATACTAGCCACGGGAATTCTACCATAAACCCAGCTACCAGTTCGTTCAGCTTTCCACACACTCTACTGAGATACTGTTACGGAACTGAACCTGTCGACGCATCAGACAAAAGTTTGTGTTAAGCCGCGGACCTGCATCGAAGCACCTTTCAAACGGCCACAGCTCTGCTGTTGAAGAGGGTGAATCAAATATCTTTCACAAGTGAGAAAAACAAACTGAAAATGCTCCTTTACGCTTCAGCTGAGCTAAAAACAGGGCAGGCGGTGCCAAGGTATAATAGGTCGACACTTATACAAAGATCCTGTGCGAACCACAGTCGCGTTGGCCTTTTATTGCAAAAGGTTGGAGATACACAGAGTCCTACTGTAGTTGGCTTACTTTCGTGCAAACTGCCTAGTGAAGTCAAGTAAGTGTTCAGTTACTGACTACAGTGTTAGTGCATGCAGCAAAGGGCGCTTGGTTGTGGCTCCACGTGGAGCTACCGTACACAATGCTGCAGCAAGGCCAGGTGCTGCTCATGTCGGGCCTTTTCTTCTTTGCAACAGATCCAGGACCTCCTACAGCTGTGCCCAGGACGCCTGAGTGGAGGCGGGAGGTCAGTTCCTGTCGGGAACCTTCCAAACTCTTGGACTCTGTTGCACCTCACGGCTGTCCTCATACCAATGACCCTCGCCACAGCAATCAAGTAAATATGCTTGTACTAGCTTCAGAAAGGCAATGCTACACAAGGTGTTATGGGTGCATGCCTGATGTTGGCGTCCAGATCAAGACAGGGAAAATTTTGTCTCTTGATGAGGGATTTGGCTGAAGATTGTTACTTCTGGGTGTACTTTGATCTCTGTACTCAAGATACCCCCATTTACCTAATCCATCACTCGCACCCTCATGGAGATGCCTGGTACGAGGTACGGTGGTCACTCCTTCGGCGGAATGGATTGCTGGATTCTGCTAACGTTGCTCTCCAGCCTCCCATGAGAAAGAAAACGTCGATTACCCCTCCATGGTAGGACCAAAGAGATGCGCAATCTCCTTTCTCCTGGGAAATCCCTGTACTGATGGCTGGCCTCCTTGTAATGCCTGTCATTCTACGTTGCTGCTAAGGCCCGGTCTAAGCTTTGTCCCTATCAAGTTGTTCTACTTGCTCCTGACTGGCAAAATTTCCCGTAGGGTCTTTTATCGCTCCACTTCTCGTTTTTCGTGCTTCACAGTTAGTTGCACACTTCGTAGCCGCATTGGTATAAGCTTTATGCCTCCAAAGTATTGTCATTTTATAACTGCTCGCTTGCGCCTTCTACGTTAGTATTTGTCCATTCACAATCCACTCCCTCCCAGCTGGATGCTTTACTACTGAAGCTAGCAGCCTTCCGCACCAGCTCAAGCTGCTCACTCCGCTTGTAATGTGAGCACTTTCTCCCTGCCGCGCATTTCCGAATGGCCAGAACTTGCCGAAACCCCATGTTTGCCTTGTTCGTAGCAGAGTAACATGCATAAACCTGCGGTGTAGCGGTGTCTGCAAGGCTTTCTCTCGGGATCACCGTAGCCACACGCGAGACTGCTTCAAAACCTCCGCAATATATTCGCGGGATCTAGGTTAGTGTTTTCAATACTATTGTTGCGAAATAAAGATGAAATGGATCCACCAACTAGAAGTTGGTAATCATCTTTGAACAATGCCAGTGGTCCTGGGGAACCCTGAAAAAGGAGATGCTTTCCCCAAGAACAGGGAGTGGCTGCTGGGGGGAACGTTTGTCACAGGTTTCTTCCGATAATGTTTACGCCTTAAGCTTAACAGAGCAAAAGAGCGTTCGCAGTTAGACAACATTACTCGGAGAAACAGCAATAGATAGCAGGTCTGACGAAACCTTTACGCCAGTCAGGGGCTGGTCCTTCTCCAAGCAGCACGCTCTCGAACAGTAACAGAGTGGGATATTCAGTACATAGTTATTTTTCGCCCGCTAAGTTGCTGCATCGTCGAAAACGTTTTCTGGAAATCGTGGAGTGTTGGGCAGACCTTAACCGAAACTTTCAAGATAGCCGCAGGTCTATGTTTGGCTTCCGGTCCAACGACCGAAAGTAACTAATACGAGTGGCGAGAAATGGTTTTCCCAGTTGCTTGTCACGCGCACCTCGTAACCCTCAAAATGAGAAAAAGGGGTGTTTGATAGTCGTCTAGAACATACTCTGTTTGTACCAGAAACTAATTTCATTTTCTCGGAAAGTTGAAAAAAAAACGAACACCCTGAGATGGTACAGTTGTCGGAGCTGAATTTTCGTCCGAATTCGCCCGTTATATATGACTTCCGCTGTGATAAGGGCAAGCAGGGGCATAGGGACATACGCCATCGTGCACTAACTGTTACTGCACTGCTCATGCAGTTTTGAGGCACTCTGCCAAACTGCCACCCTTAGCAATTCACATTTCATTCTACACTCCTCGTTAACAATTCCAGTCAACTCCCAAAAACACTAGCCTATGCGATACCTACTCAGCACCAGCCTCCACACTTTCTGGTGGAGCATCCCAATGCTCCACCAGAGGGGCCTTCAGACCCCACAGCACACAGGGAAACTTTTTATGCCTGTGTAGCGGACAGCTGCCGCATTTTTCATGAAAATGAGTGTTACTAGCACGCTGTAATTATGATGAGCTACTGATGCAGCTGGAGACGGCATAGTGACCACAAACGCCTCATACACCATTTGAAGAATGCGCTTGTCGCACTTGCTCAACGGGTGAGCTGGCATTTCTAGATCACTACTGTGATTCATGCCCGACCATGCACATAAAAGTGCAGGCACATGCGCGCACATTTTTTTGTGCACATAAACATACAAGAGGGCCCCCGGTCTCTGCTTTTATGCACTGCGAACAAGCCGGTGAACATCCGACCCTCATACAGTGCCTCCAAAGACATCCTAGGCCAGTCACTTACAATGAGACATTTTGCTCAAAAGACAGCCCTGCTAAGCAAAGGCTCCACACTGAAAAACATCAAACAAAATGGGGAGCATCCCACTCTCCGTACTGGTGGACGCTCTTCCAAAAGGCGAGCGCAGCGAGATCCCGGACATCCCCCCTAAATTCAGAAAGACCTCCGCCACATAAAACATTCAATAAAGAATATCTATCACCTCCCTGCCGGAAGATAAGCCAGCTTGGGGTCTCCTAAGGACATCCCGCGCGCAAAAAAAAACTGGCGGCTGCACTTGAGGCCGCCTTCTCCTTTCTTCCCACAGACCTGGTTAATGACATGCAGATACAGGGCGCAGTTAAAATGCCGCCTCCTTTTCTATATTGCTGGAATAGTGCACTTTGTTTCACGTTGGGACACCGGTTGAGTGCGCACTACTTCTAAAACCGTATGTCCAAGGACGTCCTTGAATAAGGCACATAATTTGCCATTCTTTGTCGCCTTTGCCCCTCCCTGTAATTGTCCTTGTCGGTCCTTTTGTACTTTCTCGACCTGCGATTCCAGGTGAAGTCTGGCAGAGATACGCAGCGCCAATTTGACGACGCAAACCGCAGACTGACCCAACCTACAGGATGAGAGTTTTCTGTCTGATATCTTGTTCACGGAGAAAACATTCCGATTCGGCTGTGGTGGCCATCCTGAACCATTACAACCAATTGCATGGCTGCTCCCTTCAGCGCTGCTGCTGTGGATGCTAGGGCCTTCACGTCTGACTGGGCGCGAACCGCGCTCGTCAGGGCATTCACTTGCTTCAGCAGGGATTCAAACTGCTTTTTTCTAGCGAAAGACACTTCGGAATCCCCTTCCTGCTGCTGCTGGTTCCGCTCTGCTGCTGCTGCTGCTCTCTGTGACATTCTGGCGCTTACCTGCACGTCAAGTTCCATAGACTCCACAAGCTGCCACTGAAACCACAGAGTCTCCGCATCCCCCAAAATGCGTTCAGCCTCCATAGCAGCTTTCTGTGCATCATTCACTAATTTCTTCATACGGTTAAAATCGCCGCCGGTGTATTGTTTGGTCCTTGCCGATGCAGCGAGAGCATCGTTGTAGGCCAATCGTGCCCTATCTCTAGCCGCTTCCAGCGATTTCTCCAGCTCTTGTAAGATTGAGGGGTTCGTTAGTCGATCCTGTACAGGCTCTTGATGGTCCGCCATCCGCTCTATCTCCATCAAAGACTGTGTGGGAATCGCCCTAGATTGAAACATGCTTAGGATATCTTTCGTTTTCTTAGCGGCAGCTCCAGCATCCTTGCTAGCCCTTGTGGCCACTGCTTCCATTAGCCTCCGCACCTCTGGATTCTCACATGCATCCGTTGCGATACTGGGGATTGAACCCATGTGCGACGCGACCGTTGCCAGCAACGCCTTCAGCTCCTCTCCCACTTCTTTGGCCTGCTCTTTAGCAACTTCCGCAGAAGTGATATCCTTTTTCTTGTGTAGTTGCTCGATTTCCTCGCGGTGCGCCTTCAACAACTGTTCTCCTCTCTTCAGTTCCTTGTCTATCAAGTCGAGTGTCTCTAGAGTTGCTATGTCTCCTTGGGGAAGAGACTCCTGTCGCTGTCTTTCTAATCTACACAGGACTTTTTGTTCCTTCAGAAGGTCTCGACATTCCCTGTACATGCATACCTGCTGTCGCACGGAGTGAGACACCAACCAGAGTGTCGCAGCATCTGCCAACTCAACGGTAGAGCGTCTCCCTGCTCGTGCAACTTCAAACGCCATTTTGAGGAACTCGGCATTCGCTGCAATTGCAGCCATTATCTCACTGCCCCCCATGTTGGTCAATGCCGGGAGCAGCTTCAGTTCTGCTTTGGCCTTGGCAGCTTGTTTCATTGACGATTTATAGGAGAATACCTGACTCCCCAGATAGTTGTGCAGAGCATTTGCAGCTTTTGAATTCACACGAGACACAGCATCTAGTGCCATAAAAGAAAGAATAGATGGAGGTTCAATATTCTTCACTTGATGCGCAAGCCACAGCCCTTGTCTTCGGGCCGCTTCACACAATCGAGACAGCGCGGAGGCACCGCTGTCTACAACGCTTTTCATTACACTCTCTGGAGACTCCCACGTTTCCAGCGAACCCTCCAGGATCTTCTGCTGCACTTGTTTGGCATTTTCTATACAATTGCGAACGTCGTTAAAGGCAGCATGCGTATCCTCATCGACAATCCCTAAAATATCGGTCAGAACGGTCAACAGTGCACTCAATTGCTGCATCTCATCTAACCTCTTCCAAAGCAGTTTTTCTTCAGCCGTTCTCTCGTCTTCCTGCTGCGGTGGTTGTTGCTGGTGCTGCTTTTGAGTCCGCTGGTCCTGCTGCGTCTGCTCCTGCTGGTCCTGCTGCTCCTGCTGCTCCTTCTTTTGGCTGGAATATAACTCTTCCAGTCTTGGAAGGCCGTGCACCGCGAGGGTGCTGGCTGTGAGCAGCCCCAAACATGCGAACGAAAGGAGGATTGCAGCAATGAAAGTGGAGGAAGACAGCACTCTTCGGCCCTCTTTGTTCTTCTGCGGCGGAGGTGAGGGTGCTACGGCTTCATTGGCCTTAGGTTGATCGCTTTGCGAAAGTTCCTCTGGAGAGATAAAGTGGCTTGTTGAGTCCAGACTGGAATACGCAGGACCAGCCAAGAGGGAAGGCAAACTGTTCGTCAATGTAGGCTCAGAAGACAATGCTGCCTCGTTGATGGAGCCGTCCATATAAGAACCCGCAGTCCACTGGCCTTCAGAGCCACTGATACCCCCTAAAGACTCTGCCTCCTTATCTCCCCAGCCATCGAAAGGGAGCATGGTAGCCTTTACCTCAACCAAGAGGAGAGCCATTGCTCCCAGACATTGTACTTGGCACAGGTGCATCCTGTTGTGCTTCATCGATTCAAGAAGTCTACTAAACATGGGAATAACACTGTAAATGCAAAGAAAGGGGAGGGGAGCTCGCGATGCAACGATGAGAACCCCCCTTTCCCAGCATGGATCTTCGCAGTCTCACCGTGAGACAATTCCCCCACCAGGTTTTACCTAACTAGAAAGAAAATAACCAACATATATATCTATTTAGATGGGAGTAGAACGCTGAAATAACCTGGAGAAAAGATAATCTACTAGCGGCATCGCGCTCGGCGCAGCGCCCCTTTATCGATAGGCAGCATCCAGGGGTGGAGGCAAATGCGGCTACGTCTAGACTTCTCTAAAGTGAGAAACTTATTTCGAAATAGATGCAACTAACACATTGAATTGTTATCCAATGACTGGTTCAGGAATTTCCCGCCTCAACAGTTAAACTCCATAGCTCGCAGCTCCCCACTCCATTGCCTCTTTGCTAGGGACTCTTCGACGAACTCAGTGTGCTAACAAAGGACATCAAATTGAAACCTAAATGAATCAAATACAAAACGTTTAGGGGAAATCCCATTTCACTCACCTTTGACTGTAATATTATACTTGGGATATGCAATGCGGAGAAGCACATCGCTAAGCCGTGCACTGAAGAGCATCGCAGCTACATTCTATCCTCCAGAATGCTTCGCTTTCATCTTAAACTGACAATGGTATATATATCCAAAGGAGGGCACCGGATTTCCGGAGCATATATGGAATATGAAAAGCTCCTGAGATGCCCTAACAAGTAGGCTAAAATTGACGTTGATAAGGGAGCAAACAAGCCGTGGCAGAATTCAGAAAAAATAAGCACGGGAATATATCGTTAGAGTGCTACGTCGAGATATATCAGCCCTTCGAGAACAGAAACTCAACACTGGGCTCATAACTTCAGCATCAATTGTTCATCGCAAGCCTATCCATTGGTGAGAGGCTGTTCGTAACTAACTGGCTTGACCGCAGAGGGGTGGCTAGGGAATGGAAGTGTTGGCTTCAACAAGATAATGGAGTACATCGAATCACGAGAAGAAATGCTATTCCCACCGCCTTTGCTGAAAAGGAGGGGAACGGGCTAGCAAATGCCAAGATGTAGGTCCGAAGGATGTATATGTACCCAGAAAAAGGCAAGCTGTGGTAGCTGTTTTCTGCGTTATTCCGATGCACTTTCAAGTAACGGCGTTGTGAAATGCTGCCTCTAACGGCCCTAACTGACCTGTCTTGATACGCGTATCAAGGAGTCTAACATTTGTGCGAGTGGGGGGGCGCAAAACATGAATATACAGTGAAAGTGAGGGTAAGAAGTGGCTTTGTTATGGCACCCTGCGCACCTATGATACGCCATGGGCTCTGCGAGATGCTTGAGTTGTAGCGCACCCAACAGAACGGGAAAGATGGTGGATTATTTACTGCGCACAAACAAAGCTATTAGAGAAACACTGCAGCCTCCACACAACGTGCGGAGAACCAGCTACTGGGAGGTAGGCAATCAAATTGAACTCATCAGCTGCTCAGTCTTGCAGTATTCTGCAACTCTACAATTAGAAAACTACACCAAAAAGTGCAGTTCGCTAGTTGCTAGCTTTCCTTCTTTGTGCAGAGTAGCTGTACGTACTCACTCTGCATTGTATTACTCGAGAACCTGGATCCCTTGTTCCACATCAAAATATTCTTCTCTGACCAAACAACTCGTACCGGCTTATTTAAAGTCAGCCCCCCCATCCCCACCTGCCGCCTTCCCTACACAGCGCTCAGCAACTTAGGAAAGAATGAACAAAACCCAAGGGCGTTGGCAAGGAACGACAACGAACGACGTTCAGCAATTACTTCTTCCTGCCTGATGCCGTTTGTGGATTCACTAATACGCAGGCACTGCAAACCGCGCAAGGGGGATACATCTTGAAAAAGCTTCCAGTGCTGTTTCCTCCATGCAGTCATCCCTAGTTGGGCACCCAGACAAACGAGAGCCTTTGTTTGTGCTATTGAGCGAGTGAGGGGAAGGGGGCAAAAGTATCTGCGAAACTCTACGTGAATTTCAACTTGTGCAGACCCTTGTTCGTGAGGGCCAAGTAAATGTCTATCAGTTGTTTACAGTGGTAGTGCATGCACGAAAAGGGAGTGTGAATGAACAGACATGCGGGGTCCCTTGCAGTAAGAACCGTAGAAATAGAGCGAGAGTCTTCGATCTTAACAGAGGAACCTCGTGAGCTGCAGCATAGTAAAATAATATAAGACTACCCGAAACGCTGTTGGATTTCCCTCTAATCCTTATACGTTCTAAGTACAGCATCTCAAGGGCTGTAGATTATACGCGAAGGAGCTGGCCCTGCATGAAGTGCAACTCCCCGTGCTATGAGGTAGCCCCACATGCAGTATTACCCATGCCCCTTTCTTTTTGATGCATTCTCTAACATTGCAGAAGATTATGGAATATATCCTGCTTTCTCAGGAGCCAATCTGCACTCGGGCGTACAAACTCTGCTACAAGGAAGGAGGCGCGCAGCAACAACTGGAGACACTCCACACTAAGCCCGGGGGCTTAGCCGTCATTCAGAAGACTCTAAGAAACTTAAGGATATGTCAGTGGATTTCTAAATGCCTATTTTCTCAATTCTTTTGAGTTTTTTACGTCTCTACTCGGCAACGATCGAAGCCTCTCGTGTGAGTAGAAAGCGTTTACTGCAACGCCAATGAGGTGTTTACGAGTTGAACAGCATTATTCCAATGCATCCAATAAACGTACACCAAAAACAACTTCGTTGAAGTTCTCCCTTTTCATTCGAGGGCCGCGAAAGCATCCCAGTGTGTCGTAGAGGCCGCTGTTAAGAGTTTGTTCTTCTCAGGAGAACAATGCAACTCAAAATGCCTTCTAAGCCCTTCCATGGGGAAACTTCTTTTTCCCCCCAAAATAAACAAAGTAATAAGAGAATCAATGTAAAAATTGCAGCATCTCTACCGCTACTGATCTATCTCTGCTAAAGAAGGCCTCTGTTTTATTTCCTGCCCCCCAACCAACCCATCGGGAACCCTTCATGTTCTTCTGAACTGCAGAGTAGGATTAATACGTTTAAATTTTAAATTATATCGCATAAATGTTCAGCAAAGGAACAATAAAATAAAGGTTTTCTAAGGGCAAGACAGCACGAAGAACAGCCTCTGCATTAAGCTGCCGATCGCCGCCTGCAGAGACACAATTCAAAGGCGGACGCACTACGCCTTCAGCATGCGGGGAGCATGCATACTATGAAAGAAAAGCAAAAAAATTGATTTGTAGAGAAATATATATCCAAAGAAGATGGTTAAACGATGTTTACTTGGTTTGGTGGCTGTTACAAAGCTTTTTTTTTGCTTCTCTCACACGGGGTTCTCTCTTTCGTTATCCCCTCTCCGCTGATTTTTTCTCGCACCTCCTCAGGTAGTTCTCACCCATTTGCGTAGCTAGATTGTTTGGTATTTGCTGATTTATTTGCTTCCCCTGCTCACCTGCTTGTACGGGGCTCTTGTTTTACCTGCATCAGCAATTGTCTTCGAAGTTCAGGGGCCCCCTGTAGTCACCACGGAGGCAGCAGCATATTGCATATCTTTCAGTGTCTGTACACCCTGTCATGCGTATCTACTAAACGGTTCGAAGGACTAAGCACCCCAAGCATGCGCCTCTTGTTTTCCCCAGTGTTATTCACTGTGTGTGTGCTGGCGCCTCTTCGGGTTGAAGATGCACACGTCAGCAGCACAGCTTCACTACGTACGGTGGGAGATATGGAAGAAGGGGGTTCTTTAGAGGTTGTTGCTGCAGCTAAAGAGCAATGGAGTGCTCAATCCCTGGAGGAGGCCCATCGCAATAAAAATACAGCAACGTTTGACCCTGCGTTAACTAGCAATGCCCCGTCTCTCTTAGTAGGTACTGCAGACTCAACTCTCCACTCCTCTCTCCATTATACTTCTCCAGAAGAAATCTATAATTCTGAACCTGTTAAACCTAATGCAGCAGCTAACACACCGGCCCCGCAGCAAAATAGCAAGGCGGGAAATAAACACAAAGCAATATCTTCTCTTGCTGTTATTGCTTCTATTCTGCTTTTTCTTGCTTGCTTGAGGTTGGCTTCAAAGAGATCTCATAAGGCTGGTGGGGCGCCAGCTTCAAAGGAAGACGGCCCCAGTCAGCAGCAGCAGGGAGAACAGCAGCAGGAGCAGCAGCACGGACAGCAACAGGATGAGGAGGAAGATCCTGAACGGCAGAAGCTGCTGCAGAAGCTGGATGAGCTGCAGCAGGAAATGCTGCTGCGGCAGCAACTAGATGAACTTGAATGGTTATTGCCGATGGCGACTGATTTGTCGGATCGTGTGGAGAGCGGGGAAGCCTATTCTGCATTGCAAGACCTTCGCAGGAGTATACAGAAGGCGCAGCAGCAGCAGCAGGTGCTGCAGCAGCAGCAAGAACAAGAAGAACAACAGCAACTGCAGGAACCTCAGGAACAGTGGGAAGAAGATTCTTCTGCTTCTGAGACCCCTCCTGTTGATCCTCCTATGAGTATAATGAAGGAGGCGATAGAGAGGGGAGTTGCTGCTCTGTCCCGGCTGCATGAAGAAGTTCGTCGGCATGGCTTGTCTATAGCAGGAAAAACAAAGAATATACAACCAACTAGTGTAACGTGCATGAGAGAAGTCGAAATCATTGAGAAGATTGATGCGGGTGTCTCATCATCGTTGGCTTCTTTCTTGGGGACTGCAAGTTTTTTTCAAACAGTGTACTCTCGCAAGGTAGAGCAAGTAGAGCAGCAGCTACAAGAATTACCTCCCTTCACAACATTGGAGGAGAAGCAGTTGTTGTTTGCTGCTGAAGCGGACTTCTCTTTTGTTGAAGGAGCACGGGATTCTATAGAGACAGGGCAGCGTTCTATCTTGTATCTCTCTTCAACAGCAAGTGCAGTTGCTATGCTGCATCTCCTAAGAGGCGCGAATTGTTTATATAGAGAACAACGAGATCTTCTAGAGGGAAGACATGCTATGTGTGTGGCTGAGAAGAGAAGACAGTTATCTCACGTTCCCGTAGACCCTGCCGTTCTTGCTGCTATAGAGAAAATAGAAGAAGAGCTGAAAAGAGGGCATCGTCTGCTGCAGCGTTTGCATGATGCAGTGGAAGAAATGCATAAAAGAGATAGCGTTATAGCTGCACAGCCTGCTGTCCAGCGAGCACACGAAGCAGGAAAGGTACTGAAAGAACTCCTTGACGATGTTGCTGCTCGAATGAGTTCTCTCCCCGGTGCTGCATGGGGAGGAGAAACAGCAGAAGACGATGGGGTGCAGCGCGTTATGAGGAGACTAGCACAAAGGGCATGCCAAGATGCAGCAGCAGCAACAAGAAGAACAGTAGATGTTCAGAAAAGATTGCAGGCTAGGAAGACTTCCGCTTCTTCTGAATTGGAAATAGAACAGCAGCCAGAGCAGCACCAGATATACCCAGGGCGTAAAGAAAGAAGAATAAAATGCGTCGGTCTTCGCAAACAGCTTCAGGATGCGCTGGAGCGAATTGAAAGAAAAGTAAAATCTGCATTCAATCAGGCATTCAGTGCTTCTGTTTCGCAGCAAGAGAACAGCAAGGGGCCTATGCATTCGATGGATCTCGTAATTACTGCAAGACATGCAGCAACAGTAGCCGAGAACCTCTTAGGAGGAGCAGAGATGCTCTGGCTGCAGTGGCAGATGCTTGAGGGTGTAGAAGAAGACATGGGGTTGAGCGCTAATATCGCGAAGAGAGCAGCATCATCACCGGGCCTGCTGTATTTGCAGCAGCAGCAGCAAGAGGATGAGGACTGGGAGGCTCAGCACCCGGGTCTTTCTGAACGAAACAAACATTTCGAAGCTCTACTCAGACAATTTAACGCGAATGAAGCTGCTGCGAAGATGCAGACAAGCTTGGGGGACTTAGTCGCTACAGCAGCAGCAATGAAGGGCACATCAATTGGGCTTTCTTCTCACGTTTCGGAAGATCAGCAGGCAGCGGTTCGACGCTTTTCTCTCTGACCAAAACGCAAGAGATGCTCGCTCTCTTAAAGGCCTGCTGGGCTGCTGCAGCTGCAGCAGAGCACAGAACCCTCGCGCTGTATCCAGGTGTCTCTGCAGCTCAACAAGGCTTCAAACAAGCAGAGATACTGCTGCCTTTTGAGCTATAAACAAAAGCATCCACACAAGGGCAAGCACGAAGGAAACCGAAGAAGAGACAGAGGCTGAGGTGAGGGAGGAGACAGGCGCAAGCGTTCATATGCTGCTTCTGCAGAAGAGAGGGACCAGGGGCTTGAAGGCTTAAGCCGCATCGCTCATTGTAAGTTTTAATTTAAGTTTTAATTTGTGGGTTTTGTTTGGGAGGATACAAAATTACCTCTGCTTTTGAAGGAGGAGGAATGGGTCTACAGCGACTGCAGCAGCGCCTGCTCCAGATCACAGCTGGAGCCGCTCCTGCTGCTTGTGCTGCAGCAGCTTCTTCTATTTGAGCTGCAGCAGCTGCAGCAGCTTCTGCTATGTTCGCTGCGGCAAACGCAGCAGTTTCTTTTTTTTTTAGCTGCAGGTGCTGCAGCGGTTTCTGCTGCAGCACCTGCTTCATTTCTTTTCGTCTGATGTGCAGCAGCCGCAGCAACTCTTGCTGTGTGGGCTGCATCAGCTCTAGCCTCTGTAGCAGCACGCGTTTCTAGTGCTGCTGCAAGGCCTATTATCTGTATCACTCACAAGGCGGCTGTTGGGGTCCTGCTGCATGCAGCAGGGAACAAGCGAGCCCCAAATGCTGTTCTGCATGCATTTAAATAGAGAAGTGCTTCATGCTGTATTTCTTCGTTTAGAGGATACACAACAGCTTCTCGTTTGCTCCATGTGAGTCTCCGAAGCAGCAGTAGGGGACAGTCGTTCATCTTTAGCGCCCCCTCGTTGTTCCTAGGTACCGCAAAATGTAATTTTACATATGTATGTATATATATATATATTATATATATATATATGAATATGTATATATATGTATATATATATAATTCATTCCATTCTTACTATAATCACCGGCTTGCCTGCGCCTTTGCATGCAAATGCAAAGAGAGCGGCTCTCACCACGAGCGGAAGCCTTCTGAGCGCCAGCAGCAGCAGCAACAGCAGCAGCAGCAACAGTAGCAGCATCAGCTTCTGCTACTGCTTTATGTGCCGCTGCTGCTGCTGCTGCTATGAACTAACTGCCTTGGCGTAGCAGTGGCGATGCCGCTCTTTCTTTCTTTTCGTTTGCTGCATTCTATCAGCGACGTCTCTGTCGCACCGTAGTTTATTTTAACTGCGCTCCTTCTTCTTAATAATACTATTATATTATATGTTGTTATTCATTGTTATTATATTTGGTTATTAATAGTGTTGTATTAATATGTTTTTCACCGGTACCATTCTGTTAATAATATTATTATATTTTATGATGTTATTCACCGGTACTATTCTTATTCTTATTATTACATTATATGATGTTATTGCTATTATATTTAGTTATTAATATTATTATATTATATGATGTTATTCACCGGTACCATTCTTCTTAATAATATTATTATATTTTATGTTGTTATTCGTTATTATTAGTAATAATATTATTATATGTTGTTATTCGCCAGTACCATTATTGTTGTTTATTTTTCTTATTACTATTCACTATTATTACTATTCACTCCTATACTATTATCAATTATTATAACTATTATTTATTAGCATCAATTCTTTTTATTATGAACTATTACTAAAATGCATTCTACATTATTGTTTTTATCGTTATTATTACCAACATTCTTCCTTTTTATAATTAACTTCTATCATTACTAATTATTATTATTATTATTATTCGATAGTAATGCTATTTAATATTATTATTACTGACGAGAAGAGAGAAGAAGATGCTCCATCGCTTGATAGAGCGCTATATATATATATATATATATATATATATATATATATATATATATAATACAGAGA